GCAAGGGCGCCACGGACACGCCCATCGACGAAAACTCTAAAGCTTCGCAATTTAACATCGCCAAGGCCTTTAGATGACAAAACCCAATTTTGGTGTAAATCGGATAAAATCCCTAGGAGGAGTTCGTTAAAATACAACGCCTGGAAATGGCAAAAACGCCACTTTTTCACCGCAGGAAGTTAAAAATATCCGACTTCCTGTTGGGTTTGAGATATGGCTCCAAGAGACTTTTTCGTATGGTTTGGCATGTTTGAGGTGTGTGCCAATTTTTGTGCATGTGCGTGATTCGTGTATCGGGGGCTCGTCCGTTTAATTTTTCTAGGTGGCGCTGTCGAGTCATTTTGCCATGCCCACTTCCGAGACCCATATCAACCTGCTATTTACACCGGGTTTGGTGTGTGTGCAAATTTTCATGAGTTTTCGGGCATGTTTAGACCCTCAAAAGTGCCCCGATAGGGGGCGGAATAATAATAATAATAATAATAATAATAAAAAACGGAGCAATTCCAATAGGGCCTTGCACCGTTCGGTGCTCGGTCCCTAATAATAATAATAAAAAACGGAGCAATTCCAATAGGGCCTACGCACCGTTTCGGTGCTCGGTCCCTAATAAACGGAGCAATTTCAATAGGGCCTTGCACCGTTCGGTGCTCGGTCCCTAATAAACGGAGCAATTCCAATAGGGCCTTGCACCGTTCGGTGCTCGGTCCCTAAAAATGTGAGGTGCACCAGTGTTGGTTACGAACTTACAATTGTGTCTGTTAAAATCATATGAATTCACTAAACTCGGAAACAAGTCGGAAGTTTATGGTCAAATCGTGCCGTTCTGTGCAAAAAAAAACAACAAAAAAAAGTTGGAAAAAATTATAATAGTTTGTAACGTGTTATTATTTAATATAATAATGCATAAATATATGATTATGGTTTATAACTGTATACTATCAATTATACTTTATTAATGCTGTCAAACAATTAATTGCACAAAAGGTTTTAACATACACAAGTAGTTGTATATATTTGAGAATATATTTCAACAGGGTGTCCGCAGGGTCTTAAAAAGTATAAAGTAAATTAATTTAGAGAAGTTTAAGGCCATTTAAAAAGTCTTATTCTTTTATACAAGGTATTAAATTCGGTACCAGTATGCTAAAGTTTTCCTGAATTTAACCTGCGAATATTAAGATGTTGTGTAGTTCATAAAATCAATAAAATCCTGCTGTTATTGGCAACACCATTATTATGGTGGCTTGAAAAGCCAACATACTGTTATCTCACTTAAACTTATTATTATTCTGCTTCTTCTTCTTTCTTCTGAGACTAATTTTAAAGTCTATCTCCTCCTAACCCTTTCAAGCTTCATACCTCAAACTTTCGTCAAACCTTCAAACTGGTCTGACTCGGGTTGCTATATCTTTTCCGACAGATCCGACTTTCGGTTTTCCGAAAAACGACCCGGAAAATTCCCAAAATTCCCATTGACTTAACATTGGGTCAAACTTTGTGACCTCATAACTCTGCATCAGACTGTCCTACAGACTTCTAACTGGGCTCATTTAACTCAGTCTAGCCAGCAGCCAATAACTGATGACCTTTAAACTTACTAGCCACTCCCTAGCAACCACTTTTGGCACCCTAGCAACTGTCCCATAGACTTCCATTGTAAAAGACTGCCATTGACTTAACATTGAGTCAACCTTTGTGAGCTCATAACTCTGCATCAGACTGTCCTACAGACTAGAGTCAGGCCCCATTCAACTCAGTCTAGTCAGCAGCCAATCACTGATGACCTTTAGACTTACTAGCCACTCCCTAGCAACCACTTATGGCACCCTAGCAACTGTCCCGTAGACTTCCATTACAAAAGACTCTCATTGACTTAACATGGGATCAAACTTTGTGAGCTCATAACTCTGCATCAGACTGTCATAGAGACTAATGGCTGAGCTCATTTAACTCAGTCTAGCCAGCAGCCAATCACTGATGGCCTTTTAACTTTCTAGCCACACCCCTAACTACCACATACTGCACCCTAGCAACTGTCCTATAGAATGTAATTAGCTGTGCTATCAAATGCTTATAATTCTAACATGCTAATGACATGCCAATCATGCTAGCAACATGCTACTCATATGCTAATCATGCTAATGACATGCTAACTCATACTGGAAACATGCTAATGACATGCTAATTTGTACTAGAATCATGCTAGTAACATGCTAATTCAAACTAGACTCATGTTAATAACTGGCCTACATGCATATCTTTGGATAGCAGTGTCCTATTGACTTGGGGGATGGCTCATCTGACTCAGACAACCAATGAGCATCTCAATATGATAATGAAGCTCACAAGCCACGCCCCCAAATTGATTCCATAGACTTCCATTAAAATAGGCCAAGATGCATATCTTTGCATAGCAGTGTCATAGAGACATGGGGGTTGGTTCATTCGACTAAGACAACCAACCACATTCAAGTTCACTCTGTAACCTCGCCCATAGCAACAAAACAGAGTACCCTAGCAACCATTCATCAACAGCTATATCTCAGCATCAGAACATCGTAGAGACTTGGAGATTGGCTCGTTTGACTCATGCTAGCAAACGGAACTTCCTATATGCTACACATGCTAGCAGTGACTAGCTACATGCTAATATTGACTAGCCCAGTACTGTAACTTGCTAGAAATGCTTACTAAGTATAAATGTTTTATCAATCATGTATGTGAGGCTTGCCTAGTAACCAACCAGGGTACCCTAGCAACTGCCTAGCAACCACCCAAATTACCCTAGCAACCGCCTAGCAACCACCTAGCAACGGCCTAGTAATGCCTTAGTAAGGGCCTAGCGACCACTCAGGACACCCTAGCAACCGCCTAGCAACGCCTTAGCAACCACTCAGAATACCTTAGCAACCACCTAGCAACACCTTAGCAACCACCTAGCAACCACTTGGGACACCTTAGCAACCGCCTAGCAACACCTTAGCAACCACTTAGCAACCACTCAGAACACCCTAGCAACTGCCTAGCAACGCCTTAGCAACCACTTAGCAACCCCTAACGACACCCTAGCAACCACCTAGCAACACCTTAGCAACCACTTAGCACCCCCTAACAACCCCCTAGCAACCCCCTAGCAACGCCTTACCACCCCCTAAGAACCCCCTAGCAACCCCCTAGCAACCCCTTAGGACCCCCTAACAACCCCCTAGCAACCCCTTAGCAACCCCTTAGCAACCCCTAAGAACCCCCTAACAACCCCCTAGCAACCCCTTAGCAACCCCTTAGGACCCCCTAGCAACCCCCTAGCAACCCCCTAGCAACCACTTAGCACCCCCTAGGACCCCCTAGCAACCCCCTAGCAACCCCTTAGCAACCACTTAGAACCCCCTAGGAACCCCCTAGCAACCCCTTAGCAACCCCTTAGCACCCACTTAGAACCCCCTAGGAACCCCCTAGCAACCCCTTAGCAACCCCTTAGAACCCACTCAGGACACCCTAGCAACCACTTAGCAACACCTTAGCAACCACCTAGCAACCACTCAAGACACCCTAGCAACCACCTAGCAACGCCTTAGCAACCACTCAGAATACCCTAGCAACCACCTAGCAACCACTTAGGACACCTTAGCAACCACCTAGCAACACCTTAGCAACCACTCAGAACACCCTAGCAACCGCCTAGCAACACCTTAGCAACCACCTAGCAACCACTCAGAATACCCTAGCGACCACCTTGCAACACCTTAGTAACCACTTAGCAACTAGTCAGAACACCTTAGCAACTGCCTAGCACCACCTTAGCAACCACTTAGCAACCACTCAAAACACCCTAGCAACCGCCTAGTAAAATGCTAATTCATGCTAGAATCATGCTAACAACATGCTAATTCATGCTAGAATCATGCTAGTAACATGCTAATTTATGCTAGATTTATGCTAACAACATGCTAATTCATGCTAGAATCATGCTAGTAACATGCTAATTCATGCTAGAATCATGCTAACAACATGCTAATTCATGTAAGAATCATGCTACTAACATGCTAATTCATGCTAGAATTATCCTAGTAGCATGCTAATTCATGCTAGAATCATGCTAGTAACATGCTAATTCAACCACTTCAAACTTTCAGATTCGGCTTTTCAAGCCACCATAAAGTTTGTCCTCAAACTTTAATATCTAGTTTCTGCTGTTGTAGGTGCCACCTGCTGGATAAGCATTTTTATTCAGTACATAAATAATGTTTTAGTTTAGGATTAGTTTCTTACAGTCAGTATTAAGTAAATATATCAAGTTAAATTGTCTCTCGATGTAACCGTTGAATCCTGAAGTGGCAATGAGGTCTTAATGTATGGAGTTTTAAAAACATCTTAAAACTTATTGGATTTTCCTCTCTGGTTCCTGTATATACCCTGTTCAAGCCACCTTTTGCACTGTTTTTCAATCAGTTACTTGAACTCTTCCCTTTTATGATCAATAACTTCTGGAATTCTATAATAGCTCTTCATCTTTCTCGGTCTGATAAAATTTTAACAACTGTAAACAACACGAAACAAACATTTTGACATTCTGCTAGCAATTCTTATATAGACCGGGTGTCCGCGAGGTCTTAAAGTATTAAAAGTTGATAAGTCATGAGAAAGTTAAGGCCCTTAAAAGGTATTAAAAAGTCTTTTTACGAGGTCTTAAATTTTGTTCCAAGTGTTTTCCAATGTGTTTGACTCCAAAAAACCATTAATATTTTTTTTTCCTCCTAATATTAACAACGCCGTGCTCGATCCAGGCAATTGGTTCAGGCAAGCTTCACAGCTATGCAACATTAGTTTGTTCATGCATGATTACTTGTATCATACGTCTTAGCACAAGTGGTTAGAGTATTTAAATGCTTGTTAATACCTGGTAAAAAAAGTAATGCTTACCATTTGTAATTGGATTGACGACTTTTTTCGTTACTTTCTAATGCGAGGAAAAATATTTCTCTTCTCTCCGCCTCCAGAAAAAAGACAGTCTATGTTGTTTTCTGCAACACAAACACGTAAGGTGGAAGATCTTGCACGGATCTCCCTTAAGAAGGAGCCGCTGTATGTGGGAGTGGACGATAATAAAGACACAGCCACTGTTGAAGGACTAGAACAGGTAAACTGCTCTTTTCAGCACCAGTTCTTCACATGTTTTTCGGGTAATATCTAAATAAATGTTATTTGTAGGGATATGTTGTGTGTCCTTCGGAGAAGCGTTTCCTGCTGCTGTTCACGTTTCTGAAGAAGAATCGCAAGAAGAAGCTGATGGTGTTTTTCTCATCCTGCATGTCGGTGAAGTTCCACTATGAGCTGCTCAATTACATCGATCTGCCCGTCATGGCTATTCATGTGAGTCAATAAGCGTAGAGACACACATGTAACCAGCGTTTGTGCAGTGTGCTGATGGTTTTGGTTTTACAGGGGAAGCAGAAACAGACAAAGAGAACCACAACGTTTTTCCAGTTTTGTAATGCAGATTCTGGCATTCTCCTCTGTACGGATGTGGCTGCCAGAGGTTTGGATATCCCCGAAGTGGACTGGATTGTTCAATTTGACCCACCTGATGATCCTAAGGTACAGCTGTTAGGCCCTTGTCTCATTTGAAGAAGCCTGGGTTTGTTTTTTTTAGATTTGTATGAGACTTTTCTGTTGATATTTCAGGAGTACATCCATCGTGTTGGGCGAACAGCTCGTGGTATTAATGGAAGAGGACATGCACTGCTGATCCTGAGGCCAGAGGAGCTTGGCTTTTTACGATTCCTCAAGCAGGCCAAAGTAGGACATTTTCTTGATAAGGGCACAGATAAACTTAAAAACACTACTTTGCAGAGATATTTGTTTTTATCCCTGAGCAGTGTTATTTATTATTTTTTTTACCGCTATGAAAAAAATTTAAAAAGACCCCTTGTAAATATTTATTCTTTATATATTTAGTTTACTAGATATGTGTTTGAGGAAAAATAACAAAGTTATTAGTGTACAATTATTATCATGTATAAATTTATAATTATTATAATAAATAATTATATGAATAATTTTAAATATAAAGGCCAAATAACATCTGTTCCCAAATTCAAATAAAAATATTGTCATCTTGAATCATTTTTATAGATTATTGGTCAGCACTGCAGATGTTTTGTTTTTTTTTTTTGGATTTTTTTTTTTCATGGATTCTTCCATGAAACCGGTTTGGTGATGTTTAAATTGAAAATAACCATTTAAATTGTGGCTCTTGTTTATTTTATCCAACATAAAATGCTCTAAATGACAACATTTTTACTTCCTTTGAAAGAAAGGTCATCAAATAACATACAGAGAAACTGAGGATTTTCAAGTCGTATCTTAAAGTTTTTTTTTTCCAATAGCTCTTTGCAGGGCTTGAAGTTAACTTTTTTGGTCACCAACACACTGTGGATTTCCAACATTACTAGTCACTCGCCATTTTCATTAGCCGCAATTTTGTTGTTGGGAAAATATATTTTGTTAGCATAAATTTGACTTTGACATGCTAAAATTACTTGATTTAGACTTTGTGTTATGTCCACATATCTCCTCGTTCATTTTATTTTTTTTGTGGGTTGTGTATGAGCTTGCTCAGTGTGCATAAGCAAATGGGTTATGGTTTCAAAGTGTCGCGTTGCAATTAGTTTTATTTCACATGATTTTTCATAGCTCAAAATTAGGGATTTACTTGATTTATCTCTGACCACAAAAAAATAAGTATTAATTTGTCAGCCACAATTTTTTAAATGATGCAAAATTGCTGTATACATGCACTTTTTATTCAACAAAACTTTCTTAAAAAAAAAAAAAAAAAAAACTATTGACATTAAGAAATAAGTTTTGTCATGTATATTGTACTATGCACAGTAGTCTGTCCTGGCTAAAGATCTCAGATTACCAGTTAACTACACAAATGGGAAGCTAATCTCCTATCAAAGCAATGTTATTGTAAAAACTGATAATTAAACCATATTAACAAAAATATCTGTAAACAAAAGAAAGCAGGTAAAAAACATACTGTGTGATGATAAAGTAATGATTACGTGCACACAGTGCAACATTAGCCCCATTAACAATTTATTAAAAGAATGGTTAAAGTGAAAGCGGCAACCGCAGCTGCTTACAAAAAGACACTTTAAAAAAAATAAAAAAATCCTGGGTTCTTGAGAGAAGCAGGACTGTGGATGCACTAGCATCGCTATTCCATTTCAAAGAGAATGTAAAAGTAATACTGCAAGAGTTTCCAAGCACGGTTGCTTCTTGCAAGGAAACGGGAACATGCACACTTTTTTTAGTGTGCATAACATCAAATCACTTGAAAATAAAACTTTAATTTAAAAAAAAAAGTGGCAAGTGGGAGTGACCGTCTAACCTGCCACATCTGAAATCTACCTGCAGTTGCCGGGCTTGCGGGTCTTAATGTCAAGCTCTAGCTCTGCGTATGAATTCAACATTGAAATACTCAGCATTTCTTTTTATGTTAGTAATTAAGCTGTTAATCAAGATATGTCTTTAAAAAAAACTAAATAGTTTTTTCCTCTACAGGTTCCCCTGAGTGAGTTTGAATTCTCCTGGACAAAAATCTCAGATATTCAATCTCAGGTAAGAATTCACTATTAGTCCAGTTGAACTTTTACATTTTTAACCTCACTGATGTAAAATGGTTTTAAAATGGAATATGTGGTATCTGCTTTCATCTTTTTCAGTTGGATAAACTGATCGAGAAAAACTACTACCTTCACAAATCAGCTCAGGAGGCCTACAAATCCTATGTCAGAGCTTATGATTCTCATTCCCTTAAGCAGATCTATAATGTAGAGACGCTGGACCTCCCGAAAGTGGCAATGTCCTTTGGATTTAAAGTGCCACCTTTTGTGGACCTCAGTATCCTTCCATCATTGTGTCAGTTCTCTTACTTGTGTCACTTAAACATAATGAGTTTGTTTTGAAGTATAATATGCGATTATGTTTGTACTAGGGTCAAAAAATAACTGGAATTCTGGCGAAAATGCCATTGGTACAAACTAAAATGTTCAGATTTAACTTGAACTAGGTTGATGTCATAGACTAAAAAAGGTTGCCTGCATATGTAGCCAATATTTGGCGCATTTCAACACAAAAAAAACTTAATAGTTTTAAAAATTACATTGATAGTCATTATTACAACATCACAAGCCATAACTTTTGTCACAATACTGCAGTCCTCCACTGATTTCTCAGATGTATAATTTACATACAGTTTGAATCATTTGTTATAGATTTCAGTTAAGAGTACTCTATTTGATTGGAGTAATTGGGTAAACTTGACATTTTAACAGAACACCTTTGCAAACTTTAGTGAGATGAAGTCCATCAGTCTGTCATGCTAGCACACATTATTAGTCTTTGGGTGAACAATTAACCCATGCAAGTTAATCCACAACCACTATTTAAAAATAAATAGTTTAATATGGTTATTATGGTAACAATATGGTAATATGGTTAACATGAATTCAAAGTATTTTTCAAATCAGTTTTTATCAATTCTGTGCATCCTTGCAGAATAAAAATATTAAAGATCATACTTTTCTACTTTCATGAAGCCATTTAACTGCATTTATTTTAGGGTTTTAGATTTAGCTGCCGTGTTTGTTCCTTAACCGTTTGCACTCTCAGATGTTCACAGCAGTAAAGGAGTGAAGCTACATAAGAGAGGTGGAGGCGGCGGCTTCGGATACCAGAAATCTAAAAACGTCCACAAGGCCAAGATCTTCAAACATGTCAACAAAGGCAAGGGAGACGGCAGACAGTTTTCACGCTGAGAATAATTTCCAGATATGCACCTCTTTCAGTTTATATGGAGTAACTGTCGGGCTACCTCAGTTGTGTGAGAGGAGCTCTGATCAGTCCGCATTCCATGTCTGTACAGAAATCTGTTTTCAGAGGCTGTTATATTGTTATATGATGCTGAATTTCTATTGTTACTGGCCTTATTAAACATGCAGATGTATGCTATGAATAGTTTTCGTGTTGTCCATCTCCTCATGACTAGGAGTGAGTGATAAAGACTTCTTGAATTAGCCTTTGAATTTTAATTTGGGCATTTGCTCTGGCTCGTAAATGGTTTGTTAAATCCAGCTAAATATTTTAAAATGTGGCCCATATTTATGAAATGAAGCCATTTTTTTCTAGAATCTATTGGGAATTTGCAGCATAATAGACTGTATTGTTATTATAGCAATAATTTTAACTCCTGTTGAGTTCAACACTTTTTGGTATGATATTGCTTTTGAGGTTTAATAAAAAAAAATAGCAAATTAAGCTTATCTGGCCAATTGTGTGAATACAGATGCAAAAGTAAGTTATTGATGTCAAATATTAGTGTTTATTCATGTAAACTGTGCAAACCAACCTAACTTATCAATGTAGTGAAAAAACATTAGGAGTTTTATGATGCTGCGTTCACACCAGATACGGAACGCGTGGATAAATCGCGCTATTCGTGCGTAAATAGCCGTGTTAACATTTGAGGTTACTCGCTTCATTCGCGCGTCAAATTCACTTCAGAACAGATACGGATTCGCGTAATGGGCAGGGGTTCTGTCTGCCCGGTAACTCTAGCTTCATAGCTAAATGGCTAACATGGATTTTATGAAAAGAATAACAGTGTTTATGTGCTTTTATGAAGGCTGAAAAACAATTTCAATACGTTAAGGGTCGTGTCTGAGTCCACTACATCCTTTCAGAGGTGCATCCAGCTCTGTGAGCTCATAAACTCCTCCAGAAACTGAACCTGGCTGATGGAGGCTTTCAGCGGTGCTTCTGACTGAGCCCAGCCCAGTTTGATGAACTTTTTGTTGGTGTCGGCTGGAGGATTTCCCCCGGGACACCGACAACAGGTGCTACATCACACCTGATTGGTTAACACGGCGCAAATGTCCGCTGTAGTTCAGATAATCGAACTCGAGTGATTCGCGCGTCATTGACTTAACATGTAAATCACTCCCGCTTGACGCGCGTTCCGCTTCTAGTGTGAACGTAGCATCAGGGCATATGTACTTTTACCCAAGTGCTTGAAATGTGTACTTCATCCACCACTGGTGAAGACTTATCTTATTATTAATTAAAAAGCAGTACATAAATACTAACATTATTCTAAATACAAGAGTTTAATTGTTTTTATGTTCAGTATTTTGTTAAATTTGTTCTATATATTTCCTTTAAGGCGGCTGTTCATTCAGTAAATGCAAGTCTCTGCAAGTTCATTTCTCTTTTAATGCATTTTGGTCTTATGGCAGCAGATTTTGATCACAGATACAAAAAGAAAGCGGATTAGTAAGCAGATTTCCTATATACATCATGAGTTTAAAGAAAACAGCATCAAGGCACAAAACGTTCAACAGTATAATAGTCTCTGAACCTAGAACAATTCAGGTTAACACACATGCACTGAAAGGTGGGGTGTTTCTCTCTGAAAGCAGATGTGATATCAGCATGAGGCTTCAGTAGAGTAAAATATAAACATCAGGGAATGCGAGTGTGTTTTGAAGTGCTACATGGGAGAGTACGTGTGTTTGACCTCCAGCAGTTATGAAGCTCCTTTAGCCCTCAGTTTAGACAACAGCATCTCATTCTTACGGCACTCCTGAACAAACAAGAATGGAAATCAGTTTTCTCAATTCAGACAATTGATGTAATGTGTAGAGGAAGGGGTATTATAAAGCTAAAGATCTATGTGTTTACCTCTTTAAAGTCTTTAACCGTTTTAAAGTAGAGCCTCTGTTTGTCCAGCAGCTCCAGATATTCATCATTCAGCTGATCTCTGCGCATCTTATTCTCCTGTCTTTTCTTTTCCATCTTTAAGAGCACAAACACTCGTTTAAAAAAAACAAACGTTCAGTCTGAAGAGGTAAAACCAGTTGAAATTTAACCGACAGTGCAAAACAGAAATGAGCCACAGAAGCATATTTGGGTACCTTTATGCGACTCTGTTTGATTCCTTCCACAATTTGCTCCATTTGTCTGAGAAACTGTTCTTTACCTCCTGATGAAGCCATGGCCCTAAAAACATATGTGGACACCTTATTTATTGCATTTGCCTGACCCATTAGAAAAGAGGTCAAAGCATCAAGCAACTGAGACTATCTGTGCATCCTACATTTCTTACATGGATCCTAGAACTTGAATCATTGGATACTCACTGCTGAAAATGATCATGGATTGAGTTCAGCAGATTGACCTGTTAAAGAAAAGAAACATCTTATTTCTAGGGCACAAACTTTAATTTAGAACTTTTTGAATGACACGTCAAAAGGCTCATTGATTTTTTTTTTCAAAGTTATTACAAGACTTATGAATTCTGTAATCAATTTGGTTCTTGGCCAGATAATGAGTTAAAAAAAAAAAAAAAAAAAGCACAACTAAACACAAAACTGAACTGATACCTCTTTCTCCAAGTAAACCTTCTTGTCGTCCAAAGTGTTGTAGAGTGTGAAGAACTGTTTTGTTTCTTTGTGTGTTGCTGAGACTGAAAAACAGTAAAGAGAAATAAAGAGATCAGCTAGACACATCAATACTCAATAAATCATAATTATGAACATGCACGATATCGTGAGCATTTATTACTTCAAATTTTAGAGTGCCTTTAAAGAATATTCATCACAGCACCAAATGCTTGAAGACTTAATAGGTGATTGGTTTTCATACAGGAACTTTTTCTTGTTAATCTAACCCACAACATTGAAAATAATGTGACTGTTTATAGGCCTTTTGTTAGTAAACTGTACAGTCGGTTTAACTAAAGTCAATTTATTGACAACTACAAAATTTATTAAACCTAATAATGCATTTAAAAAGTCAATCTTTTTTGATTAAATTCAGTTTTATTTTTATTAAATTTAACAACTTATGGCTATTTTAACTTAATTTTAATGCACTGATGTTTTCTATGTTATTATGAAGTGTTTCTTATTGTACTTTATAATCCTTTTGAAATTTAATTTAAAATATTTTTCACTCTAAACATGTATATACAATAAAGCAACACACAATGTATTTTTGGTTATACCTCTTAAATATATACCATGATAAAAGCTTCAATAATTGGAATAAGAACTTTGATACCAGCCTAAGACTAACCAATATGTGAGAGAAGAATATATAACAGTCAAAAAAAGAAACATGCATTTTAAAAACTGATCTGGTGAATTTTTTAATTAGACAAAGTCTGTGTGAACCAAAGAGGTATTGCACAAAGGTAAGATGATAGATTAAGCTGGGATTTTGAGGCTATCCTGGCTGAATTTAGCCTTGACTGCATAAAAGCAGACTAAATTAAATTACTGTGGAGATTTAATCTTTGCAGCTATCCTGCTCCAGAGCAGGCTAAAATGATTATAGGTTACTTTCGTTGTCAATGCTGCATGAAATGAATGTGTTTTACAGTCACTCAATGCTCTTTGCTATTTATATATATTTTCTAACTATTATAATTAAGAAATAAGTATATTTATTCGTGATTCGCAATCACTGTAAAAATGTTCATATTTATCCATTTCAGATTTAAATATGGGGAGATTTAGATAAGAGAGAGAAAAATAGATGAATGATTAGAAAAAAAAATACATATACAGTGCTCAGCATAAATGAGCACAGCCCCTTTTAAAACTGAATATTTTTATCTATTTCACAGTGAATATAGATATTAATTTTTGGTGCATTTAAATAAAACAGTTTCTCTCTCTCTCTCTCTCTCTCTCTCTCTCTATATATATATATATATATATATATATATATATATATATATATAAATTGATGATGAAACATCGTATAATAGATTAAATAGACTCAATTAGGGAAAAAATTCTAAATAAATGTGATACATGAATGATCATATAGATGATTAAATAAACATGATAAAATAAACTAAACAGATTAAAAAAATCTGCAATATTGGGTGTTTTATATAATCTTCAGGTTAAATTCATCAGTAGCATGAACGTTCACTGGTCACATTTGGGACAAGGTGAACAATTTAATTTGTTAATACGCATCCTCATGTTTCTCTCAATTCCCTGAATGAAAGTAAAGGGAGTTGCCTGAGTGATTGCACATCGGGTTTTATACATACATCATTGATTCTAGGATCGATTAACAAATACCGCAAATGTACTCCTATCCTGGCTTGACATAGCAGCTCGTTCTCACCCTCATCGAGGACCTGATTAAACTAGATCAAGCCATGCTTTTTCTGTTATCCTGGCTTTCTTAATTCCATTTTTGTGCAACCCCTCTCAACTTTTATTTCAGTATGTTGATGAACTTCCAACTGAAATGGAATATTGAGTAGGGGGCGGGGCTTTTTTTCACACATCATTTCCTTGTTGCAAACTTACAGTAAGAGGTGCGTGGTTAAGAATATTGTGGCTGAAGGCTTCAAACTAACATTAACTTAGAATGACCACCACTCCACAGGCAGAACCAAAATCTTTCATTGAAGTTTACCAAAACAAACTTTTTTTCAGTGAATTGACTTGAACAGATTAAAAAAAAAGATTTTTTTAATTTCAAATGGACTTTAAAGTGGGGCATTACGGTGGTGTAGTGGGTAGCACGATTGCCTCAAAGCAAGAAGGTCGCTGGTTCAAGCCTTGGCTGGGTCAGTTGGCATTTCTGTGTGGAGTTTGCATGTTCTCCCCATGTTGGCGTGGGTTTCCTCTGGTTTCCCCCACAAGTCCAACGACATGCTATAGGTGAATTGGGTAAGCTAAATTGTTCATAGTGTATGTGTGAATGAGAGTGTAAGGGTGTTTCCCAGTGCATTGCTGCAGATGGAAGGGTATCTGCTGTGTAAAACATACGCTGGATAAGTTGGTGGTTCATTCCGCTGTGGCGACCTCTGATTATTAAAGGAATTAAGCCTAAAGGAAAATTAATAAATGGACTTTAAAGTATAACAACACACCTTGGCTGTACAGTTCAATGAAGCGTTTCTGATACTGCGTCAGCTCGGCTCTGCTGGGAACCTCGTCAATCTTTCTCTGCAGGATGGCGATCTCACGGTTTCTCCGAGCCTGCAGGAGGCAGTAGAACAGAATTTGTTACAGGAATTTTTAAAGGCATTTGCGGAGTAAAACAATCAGTTTAACTTTGACCTACCATGAGTAGACGGATCTTCTGTAGCTTCTCTCTGTCCGCAGTGTATTGCTGATCAATCAACATGTTCATCTCCTGCAAACACACATCCAGAGGGTGAGTCTAAGAGATTATCTACACTTACTTTCAAAACTGTTTTGAATTGTATCCAAAATGGTGGAAAGAGCCAAGCATGGACATAAACTAAAGCTGCGTCCCAAATGGCACACTATACACTATGCACTCATGCACTATGTACTTATGCACTTACACACTCAACAGGATAGTATATGTATGTAGTGCTGTCCCAAATGGCACACTAATGTTTTTTTACTAAGCGGAAATTCAAACCGTTTCCCTGATGACGTTTGACTGTTGCCAAATCAGTGAAATAAACGACTGAATTATCAAGTAATACCTGCCGTGAGTATTGCCGCATTTACCATCCGGAGGCGCTATAATCACTCTCGTAGGAGAATTTTGCTTTCACTATCCAAAATAAATAAAGTTATTCAACATGTGCATCCGATCGCTCCGCCCCTTCCGCTACGTAAGCAAACCTGCGGTCGTTGAGTGCGTGAAGTGTCCATCATTACACACTTCATTTTAGCGGCTGAATGAGTGCATCATCCGGGTAATTGAAGTGCACTTATTATTTTGAGAGTTTTCAATGTGAACACACTACTTACACTATTTATACTACAAAATGGCGTAAAATAGTGCATAAGTATGCGATTTGGGACGCAGCTTAACTTTTTGGGTTCATGCTAATTAGCACATCACACTATTAGCATAACATTTGACGTCCAAAAAGAGTTGCTTCCTTCACTGCAAAAAATCCTTTTCTTGCCATGTTTCTTGTCCAAATGTCTAAAAGTTCCTTAATCAAGAAGCTTTTTCTAAATAAGCAAAAACTATTGTCTTGTTTTTGGAAAATAAAAAATGCCAAAATTTAGTTTTTCCTGAAAACAAGTAAAATACTCTGCCAATTAGGTAATCTTGTTTGCGCTTATTATTTTGCTTGATTTAAGGAAAAACTCACCTAATTTTGGCATTATCTACACTTCCAAGACTGCTGAAAAAGGTAATGGAATTTTATCCAAGATGGTGAAAAGAGCAAAGCACAGATATAAACCTGCATCTAGATATCCTTTTTAGGTTTATGCTAATTAGCACATCACACTATTAGCATAACATTTGATGACCCAAAAGAGTTGCTTCCTTCACTGCAAAAAATCCTTTTCTTGTCTTGTTTCTAGTCCAAATGTCTAAAAATTCCTTAATCAAGAAGCTTTTACTACACAAGCAAAAACTCTCATCTTGTTTTTAAGAACTAATATGCCAAAATTAAGTGAGTTTTTCCTGAAAACAAGTAAAATACTTTGGTGTTGTTTGATGTTTGGCTTGTTTTCACATTATTTTGCTTGTTAAAATGAAAGACTCACTTAATTTTGGGATATTATTTCATAAAACAAGACCTTTTTTTGCTTGTCTAAAAAATGCTTCTTGATTTAAGAAGTTTTTGGACTAGGAAACAAGACAAATAATCTAAGCAAAGCATATTTTGCAGTGTATGAAGAGCATTTAAAATCAGCTGAGATGACAGTGTAGACAATAACAACAAATTTGTTTGCAAAAAGCATCAGTGTATTACTGAGACAGTCATTTGCAACCTTCTTATCATCCCCATCGTCTCCAGACTCCAATTTCAGCTCTTCAATATTCTGCTGCAGACGGGTCATTTCCTCCTGTGCAGACACATAACTGTTAATGAAGCACTTCCATCTTTACTGAGTAAAACTGGACAAATCAATTGGCAACGTACACGACAGTGTGATCGGAATGTTTGCTCTTGATGTTTCAGGTTTTCATTCATGGCCACCAAAGCACGAAGCTTGTCCAACAACCTGAAAGAACAAGACACAATATTTGTTTAGATTTTCTGATTTGATTCATTTATATAGAACAGAGTAATCATTCACTTAAACAATAAAACGAGTACATTTCACCATACACAGCTAAACGAGATGATTTTAACCTCTTGAAAATGGAGCAGGATGAAGATTTAAAGGGATTGTTCATGCTAAATTTACTCACCCTCAAGTAATTAAAAACCTTCCTGAGATTCTTTCTTCTGTTGAACACTAAAAAATTAGATATTTTGGAGAAAGCTGAAAACTTGTAACCATTGACTGAAAAAAAAAACTATGGAATTCAATAGTTGCAAGTTTTCAGCATTCTTCAAAATATCTCCTTTTTTGTGTTCAACAGAAGAAAGTCGAACAGGTTTGGAAAAATTAGAGACTTAAATGATGGCAGAATTTTCAGTTTCAAATCAGGATAAACACAAGCAGCCTGAGATGAGCACACTAGAAAGTAGGCTTTGTGCTTTACTTACACTGAATCCGCCTGAGACTCGATGTCCTCCAGTGAGCTCAGTTCTTTCTCTAGCTTTTCCGTCTGCGATGTGGCCTAGAAAAACACATACATTAACAATCAGAGTCAAACATTATCGGTCAGTATTTGTGTCTACCTGCCTCACCTCAGCTAGTTTGATTTTAGCATCCTCACATGCTGATCTGACCTCCTGCTGTTTGGATTGAAGCTGGGGAAGAAAAAAAAAATATTCAAACAAACAGAAGAAACAATTTGTCATATCAACAGAAGAAAAAAAAGCGGTCTTACCTCTTCCAGTTCTTTTGTTTTTTGAGTGATTTGTTTGTTAAGTGATGCTAGCTGACGCCGGTGTTGCTGGACAGGCCCAAATCTCTCCGGCCGATCCTCCACAGAGCGCTCCGCCTGTTCAAAAACAAATACAGTCATATTTTGAAAATAAAAAATGGTTACTGTGCAGACTGAGGATTGCACACACTACCATACTTTCAATTAGTCCAAATATCCTTTTTTGTGGGGGATGGGGTTCACCTTTAATTGACATGACAGTAGATAATATAGACAGGAAAGCATGGTAGCAGAGAGAGGGGGGAGAGGATCGGCATAGGACCTTGAGGTGGGAAATGAACTTGGGTCGCCGTGAACAACAGAGTGAGCTAAAGTATTTGCTTGATATAGCAAACTGAGCTAATATATTTGTCGGAGAAATGAGAACATTGCTAAATGTTATTAACGTTATTAAATATATAATACAATTGTCTGATATGCTCAAATTGGACAGTCTCAAGTGAATAAAATCTTAAATATATGCCCATCGTGTGCGACAAGATTTTCTGTGAATCTTAAAAAGTCCCCTCTTGACTGCTGAGAATAAACAGATCCAGAATGCAGACCAGAGCCAAAATCAGTTCAAAGTTGAATACATTAGTACTGAAAGCACTGTGGTTATAGAGTAAAAGGTTATTTTATGCTGCTCACCTTTTCTGCATACTCAGTAGCAATTTGCTTGATCTCCTCAGACTGCAGACCAACAATATGTCCAACTGTGCTCGCCGACAACTTCCCCTATAAAATACACAGGAAAAAAAAATCTAAATTAATCAAACTGAAGGAATTCAGGTCCCATATGCCCAAATCATTGCTTTTAAAAGATTAGTTGACTCAAAAATCAAATGCTACATCCTCATGTCATTGTCATATAGCAGAACACAAAAACAAATTCTGAAGAATGCTGGGAGTCAAATGCAACCAAGACATGTTTTACATGTCATTATGTTCCACTGAAGATTTCTATAGATTGAATTTAGATTTTTAGGTGAACTATCCTTTTAAACTGTAAACTTTAGAGGCCTTTAAACTCTTGTGTGCTGTTGGAGATGTTTTCATCCACTCTGGGGTGATTTTGAGTCTTAATTTGGGCTTTCAAAAACTGATTTAACTTTTAAGTTTGAGCAAATGGAAAGATTTTTGGTGACAAATTTTATTTTGACACATATTTTGGGAAAATGCTCTGAAAATTTAACAATACACTTGGCAATTTTATGTCCCTTTTGTTATGTTGGTGGCTGTTTTGGTTCCATTGACTTATTTTAGAAAGACATTTTTGATTGCAAATTCATGACACCACATTATTATGTATTCTTGATTGTTGGTGATTTTTCTCTGTTGAGGAGATACAATTTGTCATTTTTACTGTTGATCATCTGTTGCAGTAAAAAAAAGCTTAGTGTCTGGCTTAAAATTATACAATTATATGGAGTAAAGTGTGTGTGTTTGTGTGAGACCTTTGCGCACTTACCTTTATATGTTTAAGGGGAAAAAAAAACAAGCAGCTCATCTCTTAGCTCATAGTAATTGTATTTCTTTGCGCACACAATAATTTGTTGTTTTACTCTATAGAACTCAATATAAAAGTCGAAAACATATTTGCACAGGCACATCTAAAGGGTTAATGGTACCAAATGATGATGATGATGATCGACAGTAAAAATGAAAAGTTTTACCTCTACGCAACAGGGAAAAACACCAATCCAAAATGCATGATTATTATGCTGTCAAAGCTTTGAATCAAAAAGATGTCGTCATAATAGAGAAGTCAATAGGGCAAAAACTTCCTTGAACACAACAAAAAGGGTAGTCAACTTAAACAGTACACAAAGGGTTAAGGAAAAGGGAAACAATTGTATAGTTCTAAATATAAAGGAACAGCAGACTTCACATTAAAAATGATCGGTGGAATTATTATAAAAAGGCAGCTGAAGGCTAAAAACACTTAACAGCCAATCAGAATCCTGCCTGCTTCCTTTTTGCTCAAGCATTTAAAGCTTCTTTGCGTGCTTACATTGAACATCACAATAATGTCCGCTGGTATGGATGATTATGTAGTTATCATTATAGTCGTTTATAGAAATGTACCTCCTCTGTTGCCATGGCCGCCATTCCAGTCATCAGGGCCTTAATTCGAAGCTGAAAGAACAATAAACAGAACTTGTGATTGGTTGATGAAAAATGAACATTGGTCAGATGAAGAGGGAGTAATTAGAAACAAATGAAGATTCATATGAGCCTCACTGACCTCCTCTGCGGCCTGCAGATCCTCTTCTTCAGACACCTGGGTCATTCCCGGAGGCGCGCCTTGTGTACCCTGAGCTGACGCCTGCTTCTGCTCCACCGCCTGTTAGAAACACCAGCACATGATCGCACTAACATCCAATCAAACACAACAAGGCTCTTCTCTCCATCTGTCAGCTATTACACCCAGATGGACACCACAGGGGCTGTTCCAGGGTCAGTGCATACAAAAATCTTCAAAGTCTGTCAGCATTTTCACTTGATTGTTTTGCTTAAAGGATTACACGATTACTGGAATATCACGGCATTTAAAAGGTCAATTCCAGACATGGAATGTCAGGGAATTTTTATTTTTATATTTTGTCCAAGTCATGAAAAATTAGGGATTTTTGTTTGTCACTTCATAAAATTTTAGTATCCATTTATTAAAATGTAAAATTTTCAATACCATATATTTTTATTTATTTTATTTTTATAAATCGCATTACGTGTCTGATCTTTGACCTCAAAATAACCACTTCAAACAGCGGGTGTTAAAATAATTAATCACAGAAAAACAAAATAAAACATTTGTGAAACTACTATCAAGCTATCAAATTTTAGCATAACTCAATTTCAGGTTTCTTTTCCTAACTGTATCTATTTCATCCATGGACCTGTGAATCAGCTGCTTAATCGTGACCTTCTTTTACTGGACTTTTTAGTGTGACATGAAGGGAAAAAATCTGATACTCACAGTGCCTGATTTAGACTGTTTGCTGAATCCATAGCGCCTGGAAAAACAGAAAACAAATGCTTCATATTGAGATTACACACGACATGTGACCCATGGCGAGTTTCTTTCAGAACACACCAGACTACAGGCAGCACACAACCACATGACAGGAAATTATAAATTAACCAAACAATCCAATGCAACAAACGTGTAAAAAAAAAAAAAAAACAGCACTTGGGCAGATGCAAAATGAAAGAGAATAATGCAGCTGATGCAAAGCCAATCTGTCCCATTCCCAGAACTCCAATCATACTCACTGCATATACTGCGATATGAGAAGGCATGGACTGGTGATGAGTGAAATGAAAGAGGCAGATGGAAAGAAAAAGGGAGGAAGTAAAGAGTAAGATGAAGATTATAGAAACCTGTGAATTAATAGATGTTGTTAATGGAGATTTCCATCTGAAACCGAGATGCTGAAAGAGTGAGCAGGGAAACCAGTGAAGGAAATGAATGAGAAATGGAGAATCGGGCTAGAAACTGGCACTGAATTTAATGATGAATATACAATTTTCAGTTTTTATATCCAACTTAATGTTGTCATACATTATTGTTCAAAACTGTATTTAATGTTTTAAAGAAATTAATACTTTTATCCAGAAACTGAAGGCATTTATAATGTTAAAATATTTCAGTAACCCTAAAAACTAATGTCCATTAGTTCATGTTAGTAATTGTATTTACTAAAATAAACTAAATATGAACAATACTTGTACACCATTTATTATTCATAATTCAACATTTACTAATGCTAGAATAAAATTTAGAGTTGAGCTTGATAGCATTAGTTGTAAGGTAACAAGTACAAACAATGAATTAATTTATTTAAGTTAAAGATAAAAAAAATAATGTAATGTATTGTTCATTGTCTGCTCATCAGTAAATGCATGAACTGATTAATTAAATGGGCCATTATCATAAATACTATAATAAATGTATTGTAGTGTAAAATAATCTGCCAATGAGGCAAGCAAAATAATCTTGTTTTTCCTTTTGACATTAGATTCTTTTGCTTACCCCATTAGCAGATTCTTTAGCTTGTTTCAAGGTAAAACTCACCTAATTTTGGCATATTATTTCTTAAAACAAGGCAATATGTTTTGATTTAATAATTTTTAAAGATGTGGACTAGAAACAAGACAAAAAAAGAAAAAGAAAGTCATTATTTGCAGTGTGAAAGTGTAAAGCCTGTAGCCCACAACATAGGTGGAAAGTTACTGGGCGTCATATTTAACAAACAGTTTACTGCGCATTTTATATATCTTTGCTCACATGGGTAATTGAATATTAATCAGATGATGTCATTACACTGCTGTGTCGTCAGCCAATCGTTGCATTGCTGATCATGATTGAGGATCGATAGCTCTGTCCTTCACAACACACACAGGGGTCACAGATCAGTTTATCCAGACAATTTAATCTGATTTGCGAACTTGTTTCAAGAACCAAATTAGCCAGAGATCAGTTATCAAGATTAAAAGATCCAGGATCTGCCAAACTATCTTAGATTATTTAAGCAAGGTCTATGAAGAATGGACCCCAGGACATTACTGACCCCAAACCTTTATAAACAACCCCTCATGTCTCTACAGTAGCCCTACAGTAGGTACACAACAACAATGTTTGGTTTACTTCCATTTATTAATTCATGATGAAAGTGGGAAGTGCTTTAACCCTGTGAAGGAGTAGAAAGTACCTGCCAAACTCCAGCAGGGTGGAATGAACTCGAGACTCTTCATCCAATAGCTCACCAGCATCCTCTTGTCTTTTATAACGCCTTTGAGGAGCATACACTTCCTGCACCCGAACACATAATACACAACTTACTCCACTACATTCTCTTATCAAATATACAGTAGAGAGAGGAAATAACGCCACAATACTGCAGGAATATTCAATTCAGCAAAACATCCCTCTTCAATTCTCATGGTGACGATGAATAAAAGATAACCGGATACTTACACACACATTCACCACCGTGCTGATGGCTCTATCCTTCTTCGACGCAAACTCCTCATCCTGAAACACAGACCTTCACTGAGACATGCAGTTTGTAAATTATTGGTTTGATGTATTGCAGTGTTCTCTCTTACCTCAGGAAACGCGTGTGTTTTCTGGAACTGGGAGATGGAATATGACCGGATGTAATCTCCCATCTCCTCACGCGTCTCAATCGCCTTCTTTACCAGCCACTACAGACCCCACAAAAGATGCCTTGTAAGTACTGACATAAAGGCCACCTTTTATGCACCTTTTTACAAGATGTAAAATAAGTCTCTGGTGTCCCTAGAGTGTGTTTGTAAATTTTCAGCTCAAAATACCCCACTAATAATGTTTTAGAACTTTTAAACTGCCACTTTTAGGCTTTAATCATAATTGTACAGTTTTGGTGACTGTCACTTAAAATTCAAATGAGATTGTGCTTTTCAAAAGAGGGCGGAGCCACGAATTCCTGTGTCGGGATAGTGGCAGATTAAAAAATACGTCCACTAATGGGCGGGGTTTTCCCCTCTCTGATGATACATATAAAGGGAGAATGTCAATCAAAGTGTTTCTGCAGACTATTTTTATCAATTGTGATTTTAAAAAAACTACATGAATACATTTTACCATTAAAAGCTGGTTATTTTTACAGACTAATTCCACACAACTGTGTATAAACCCCTTATAAAAGTTATTTTTGCACAATAGGTCCCCTTTAAGTAATTTAAAGCAAAAACACCATTATAAGTTGGAGATCAGTAACTTTTTTTTGTATTCAATGTATCAAAAGTGACTGTAAAGTCATGTTTAGTTCAAAACAGAACTCTATTTCTATTTCCAAAGAACCTTGAAAACAGTGTTTCACAGTTTCTACAAAATTACCAAGCAGCAGAATCATTGATAATAACAAGATTTTTTTCATTGAGAACCAAATCCGCATATTAATGTCATTTCTAAAGGATCGTGTGTCTGTTTCACTGTATGTTTAATCACACTAAATCTTTGGTGCACATAAGAGAAACTCATTTAGGTGCTATAGATCAGTGGTTCCCAAAGTAGAGGTCATGGGACAGGGGGGGTCGCTTGGTGATTTCCAAAATCAAATAGATTTTAATAAACTATTAGAATTACCATATTTTAACCATAACCCACAGAAGATAAAAAGTTATATTAGTAAAAAAAAAACAAATGCAAATGAAAAGCCATTAGCCTTTAATTTTGTTTTTCATTGGATTGGTGTGTTTAAATTAGATTAACAACACTGCAACAGTGTCAGCTGCAGCAGATTGATTTTATGGCACCAAATTAACAAATTAATAAATTAACAACAATTTAATAAATGACTATAAAAATTATATGGTTGTTAGGTGTTGCACTTTTTGTATACTTATGATGACCATTTCTGAGGAATTTGGGAGTCGCGAGGGACTGGCATTGTTATTTTAGGGCTTGCAGGCAGAAAATTTTGGGACCCTTGCAGTAGATGTACAATAGTCCATACCTGTACAACAGGAAAGATGTGGATAAAATCCAACCCTTGGATCTGATGAGGCTCCAGTCGGTGAGGACATTTCATTTTGGGCAGAACTGACACAATCTTTTCCGTCAGAGCACTTAAAATAGGGGGGAAAATGTAGAAAAAAAAATCAGTTTAGTTTAAGGAGAATCGTTTATTTTTTATTTTTTTGTCTTCTTATGTTCCTATATTAGGTGGCAAAATGTTGTTCATCCTACCACTCACATTTTCTGACCAATGGTGGAATTTTCTTGGAAAAGCAGATCAACATCTATGTCAAAATTGCAAGTGGTTATACACCAGGTCAGTCCACCCACCACCTAACGTAAAAGCAGAGACAGTTCAGGATTAAACGAATGCAGAGTAAAACAAGTAGTTGGAGTAGATGTGTAAAGTATTACCTTGTCAAATGGTGTCAGTCCTTTAATGCGAGCTCTGAAATAACCAGCTGCGAGCAACAGCTCCAAAATCTCTGCAAGCTTGACATTCTGCTCCTCATCCTCACGGGTCTCCACCTGTCAATCACTCAGTATGTGACTCAGCAAATTAAAACACAGACATTTTATTGTTCGTCTTTTACTATCACTTGTCTCTGAAAAAAACGGAAAGTTAAAATATCCAAACAACCCTTATGCAAAGCAACCATGGTTTTAAACAAAAATCTAAAATCATAGTTATTGTAGATAAACCTTTATAACCACAAATTAACCATGATTTGACCACACAAAACATATTTAACCATTGGTATCTGTAGTTAATAAAGTAAAATAGTACATAAATAAAAATCACGAGGAAAAAAATGCACTATAGTAGAACTTTAGTTTAATAATCCAAAAATAATGTATTTACTAACATGAAGAAAAGATGAGCAATGCATTTAATTTAATTCATCTTTGCTAACTTTAGTTAATTAAAATAGAGTTGTTAAGTTCTCTTGTTAACTCACAGTGCATTAACTAATGTCAACAAACACAACTAGATATTAATAGTATGTAAATGTTGAACTATGGTTAATAAATGCTATACAAGGTTGTTCATATTCAGTTCATGATAGTAAATACATAAACTAACATTTAGTTTAAAGTGCTATGATAAAAACATGATTGACTTTCGTAAGGTAACTCAGCAGCATCTGAATTTAAAACGCATTACAGTAGAAGATCCCACGTAACGTTATACATGTTGTTACACGTTATTTATGCATAATACCTTCATATCACTGCTGCATTCTCTTAAAAAAAATAAGTTTAAAAAACACTACCTTGGCATATGCGTTCGTCCTCGATTCAATATAAACGAGGACTATTGAACAATAAGACAAATACAGTATGTATATTTATATTTAACAGACTAGTAAGTGGCTGGCTTCCTGACATAATGCACACACTTAAAACAATAAAAAATAACTGCAATAAAGGCAGTCGAGCTGAGATAATGGTTTAAATGTTCAATATGAAATGTTTACCTTGATGAGATTGCCTTCCTGATCATACTGTGCTCCTATTTTCGAGCCCGTTCTCACTCTCTGGAAGACAGAGGTGGCCGCCATGATGATCACGATGTGTCACGTGAGGAGAATAACGTGACGCAAATCTTGTCTCCTTAAAGCGATTTAAACACTTTTTTGTGTGTTTGACAAATACAACATAATAATATATTACATATTCCAGACGAAAATAGTATATCCTAACTAGAATAATAGCAATGAGTAAGAAGTTCAGATAAATCATCAAGACGCATCATTTGTTACAGAAAGTTTTGAGTGTCACATATTTTTAGTTTTGTATCAGTTTTAATGCTTGTTTTTTGGCAGGAGCTCAGAAATGTGAAATATCAGAATGGATAAAACTCCAAACCCAGGTGAGGAAAACGCACTATGGTAAGACAGTGAAACAATTTACTTATTAATATTCTTCTGTTGTTGTATGATTTTAGTATATTAAAGGGATGCTCTCATGTGGGTTTTAATCCTTTATGAGTTTGTTTATTCTGTGCACACACACACACACACACACACACACACACACACATACCCTCAAAAGATAAAGTATGCTTGTTGCTAAGTCCTATTAACCTTTGTCATAGGAAAACAATGACTATGGAAGTCAATTGTTCACAACAACCAGTATTTTTCAAAGTATATTTTGTGTGTGTGTGTGTGTGTGTGTGTGTGTGTGTGTGTGTGTGTGTGTGTGTGTGTGTGTGTGTGTGTGTGTGTGTGTGTGTGTGTGTGTTAAAGTAGAATAGGTTTTGAACAAGTGACTGGTGAGTAACGGGGTATATGCACACAGACTTTTAATTTCAGTCAGCCAGCCCCATGGCTTTTGTCATCCCATACAAAATCACTGTGTTTAAGGTCTGATTTCTTTAAAAAACAGTATTCCTCACTGCCTGGCTGAGATACAATATAAAGTAGATATCAGACCAAACAAGAAGCTCTGCATTAAACTATATTTTTCCACGCCATGTTTTTAAAATATGGAAATGTCTTTAAAATATGGAAATTAACTTTACCCCAGTATTTTCAATGGAATTTCTGCCGTAGCCTGTCTTTTGTCTATCTTTAAGCTTTAACTGCTAAATAAGTTCTTAAGTCTGTTTAATTGATTATATTTGAATTGCATTACAACATCAATGCTGTAAAAGGAACCTTATGACATTGAAAATAGTCATAAAGCTCTCACCAGAAATTCACCATTGTCTTAAAAACACTAGATGTGCAAATAGGCCATTGACAGAAACTTAATGTTTGGGTGAACTATCCCTTTAAATGCATTTGAATTCTTGTTTGTGGGATAAATGTTGTGTAGTTATACACTGCTTTTGATTTGACGTAAACAGACTATATCTGGAGGACATTTTGAAGTTACTGTCATGTCTGTTGGTTGTTTGTTTGTTGTGAGTTGACCATTAGTTGCCCAGCCTGCACATGACCGACCTTGAAATTTCCATTTCAGTTTCAATGTTAAAATGCCGGGTGGGTGTCTTCACTGGCCTGAAGACTTAATTTCAGCCTCAAAACCAAAGAAGCTTTGTACGCCCACACTGCTGAATACAATTCATGAAGTACCTGAAGTGTGACTAAAATATTATTTATTTGGGATATTAAGCACAAACAATTTAATGTATTTTGATTAAATAATGGCGATACAGTGGTGCAGTAGGTAGTGCTGTCGCCTCACAGCAAGAAGGTTGCTGGGTCACTGGTTTGAGCCTCGGCATTTCTGTGTGGAGTTTGCGTGTTCTCCCTTCATTCGCTTGGGTTTCCTCCGGGTGCTCCGGTTTCCCCCACAGTCCAAAGACATGCGATATAGGCTAAATTGTCCGTAGTGTATGAGTGTGTGTGTGTGTGTGTGTGTGTGTGTGTGTGTGTGTGTGTGTGTGTGTGAATGAGTGTGTGTGGGTGTTTTCCAGAGATGGGTTGCAGCTAGAGGGGCATCTGCTGTGTAAAAACATGCTGAAAAAGTTGGCGGTTTATTTCACTGTGGCGACCCCGGATTAAAAAAGATACTAAGCCGAAAAGGAAATGAATGAATGAATGAATGATTAAATAATCCTAAAATCTTAAATTTACATTTTGATTAATTTTGCAGTGTACCATAACTTTGTCACTGCGGTGAAGCACCTACAATAAAAATAAATCAAAAAGCTGATTTGTAAGGACTACAAATCTTGATATTCTGTTGCACATATAAGATGTGATTTCAACTGTGCCAATTTAAGAGACCAATAAACTCTAGTCAAATCATTTATTTATAATTAAAAATACTTATAGATGGCAACATGGTGGCTCAGTGGTTAGCACTGTTACCTTACAACAAAACACAATTGCAGTCCTAAGTGAGTATTGAGATTTTCTGCAGGTTTTTCCATGCTTTGCTTATATTTGTATCTTTCCTCATTTGTAAGTCGCCTCTGCCAAATGAATTTATGTAAATTTAAATGTAAATGGAAGTTCTTCTTGGCAACAACTTTACCTTTCCGAATATTCTGCTGATGTTTAGTTTGTTTAAATGCTTTAATTTAAAATTCAACAATGTCAAAAACTTTAAAGGCACTTTTTAGAAATTCAGTCCACCATTGTGCTGTCACTGGTTTACAAAATAAGAATACTGTGCATACGTATAGCTCTTGTTTATAATGTGATTTTCTTTCTTTTTTTGTGTAAATATTGTATGACAGATAATGAAACTGTATACAGTTGAGGGCAAAAGCATTGTTGTTATTATTATAATTATTATTATACCTCCTGTGAAATGCAAGTTTCTTTTTCAAATATTTCCCAAGTAATGTTTATTTTTTGTTTATATATATAATGTATACACAACTCCATATCTTTTCTGATTTCGATTGTACTGCAATAATATGCATCTTTTGTATAACTGCTTTGAAACAAAAATTATTGTGAGAATAAACTTGAATTGGATTTAATGAAATTGATGTTTAGCCAAAAAAAAAGAATATCGTATCACACACGTTAACACATTTTAAACATAATAGTTTTAATAACTAATTTCTATTCTAACAACCAACTTCTTTTGTCTTTGGTATGATGACAGTACATAATATTTAAAGGCTTAACTAGGTTATTAGATTAACAAGTTATGTTAATTAGACGAGACTCTGTATAACAGTTTGTAAAATAGAGTTTGCATTGGAAAAAATAACTTTTTAAGAGGCTAATATTGACCCTAAATTATATTTAACAAAATTCAAAACAGTTTTTTTTTAATGCTGACTTACAGAGAAAAGAAAATATTAGAAGAAAACGTGAAAATGTCCTTGCTCAACTAGGAAATATTTGAAACGCTAAAAATTCCACACGAGAGCAAATAATTATGACTTTAACTACATGTTCTTGTATGTGTACAATTTATATAATCTAAAATAAAAGTTTATCATTCATAAATATACAGTTGAAGTCAGAATTATTGTCCCTCCTGTGAATGTTTTTTCTTTTTCAAATATTTCTTAAATAATGTTTAACAGAGCAAGTATTTACAGTATTTCCTATAATATTTTTTCTTCTGTAGAAACTCATGTTTATTTTATTTTGGCTAAAATGAAAGCAGTTAAAATTTGTTTTTACTATTTTAAGGTCAATATTATTAGTCCTCTTAAGTAATATTTGTTTAAATTGTCTACAGAACAAACCATCTTTATACAAGGATTTGCCTAATTACCATAACTTGACTAATTAACCTAGTTAAGCTTTTAAATTGCACATAAAGCTGAACTATCTTGAAAAATATCTAGTTAAATATTAAGTACTGTCATCATGGCAAAGATAAACGTAATCAGCTATTAGAAATGAGTAAATAAAACTATTATATTTAGAAATGTGTTGAAAAAAATCTTGTTCTCGTTAAACAGAAATTGGAGGAAAAATACAGGTGGGCTAAAAATTCTGACTTCAACTGTATATTATTGCATTTATTGTAGAATTATTTAAAATAGTCTGTGTGAATTTAACAGGAGCAGAAAACAGAGGGGTTGCTCCTAATAAGGCAGGAGAAAGAAGGCGAAAGTGGGAGTGTCCAGGAAGGAATGTGTCAAAGGAAGGGGTGTAGGAAGGAGGCTGGCTCTGCATCACAGTGGAAGCAGCCCCGGACTGTGACTCTGTTTACTCAGCCCTTCACATGTGCCAGCAAGGACACAGAGCCCATCCTCTTCATCAGATGTTTATATCAAGCTTCTTTCAGTCTGGTGAGTTTTCTTTTTTCCTCAGTGTTTGCTTCAGACTCTTCTAGACTGTTGTTTATGCTGTGTGTTAAGAGGATTACTTTGTCAGCATTTACTTGTGCTAGTGGCTCACATTCGAGCGTGTGGTCTTCATTCAGCTCTGTAACTGCAGCATAAATGATTGTGCAGAAATAAAGGCTGTTTTATTTATTTATATTTTGCAAAAGGCATCTTTTAGGTTTAAATCAAAGTCTAGTAATGCATTTACTCAATGCAGAATAAATGCAGGAAGCAAAATCTTCAAAATTACATTCTGCTTTATTCAATATAAATGAGACTAATGATTCTGCCACTAGAGAATCGTGTGGATCTCAGAGGCATATTTAGACATGACTCATGACTGTGTGTATGTGACGCCCGACTGCAACGCTTTACTTCGCCTGAATGAACTTGCATTTCCCTTTTTTTCTTTTTTTTTCTTTTTTATGAGAATGTTTTTTTCCCATAAAATAGGGCACGTTGGGTTGGGCAATCATCTTGTTGCAGGATGTTTTTGAGCCTCTAAAGAAAAAAAACAGGCAACATGCTGTAATAATTTAAAGGGAGTTTATGTGCTCCTGCATCACAATAGGACAGCGCTCATAAATATAATCAGTGAAACCATTAAACAGAAGTTGTTGAAAGCTAATAAATGCATAATATACAGTTAAGTCACAATTATTATCCCTTCTGAGAATTTTATTTGATTTTTTCAAATATATTCCAAATGATGTTTAACAGAGCCAGGAATTTTTTACAGGATTTCCTTAAAATTTTTTCTTCAGGAGAAGATCTTATTTGTTTTATTTTGGCTAGAATAAAAACTGTTTGAATTTTTTAAAACTATTTTAAGGCCTATATTATTAAGCAATATTTTTTATTGTCTATAGAATAAATCACTGTTATACAATGACTTGCTTAATTAAGCTAATTTAATTAACCTAGTTAAGTGTTTAAGTGTAAGTGTAAACCGAATACTCGAATCTTGAAAAAATATCTAGTAAAATGTTATGCATTGTCATTACAAAGAATAAAGGAATTGATTATTAAAAAAGCTAATTATTATTTTAATTATTAATTATTAAAACTATTATGTTTGGAAATCTGTTGAAAAAATATTCTTTCTGTTAAACAGAAATTAGGAAAAAAAATAAGGGGGGCTGATAATTTAGAAGGGCTAAAAATTCAGACTTCAACTGTATATATTCATACAGAATCCTGTTAAAAAGAGATGTTTACAGTCAGTGAATCCAATCTCTGTGCAAAATGTCTGACTTTCATTTAGTCAATATTATTATTGTAGTGATGTGTTAAATTTAATATGTCCTGGATTATTATTATTGCTGTTAATGATTTTGTTTTAATTGTTTATTACAGAAACGTTGCACTGGAGAAAATGGAATCACCTCAAGCATGCCGTAAGTCTTTCTGTTTGATACACGTTTATACATATGCTTTCCTTTTATGGTGATTATGTGCTTCTTATATTATATAGAGACCACCTATTTACAGTTTCTTTATATTTATATATAGTCATGTTTGAGTAAAATTATGTTTTTGGTTTATTATATATGGGACTTTTTCTAACTATTTGTTCTTTCTTTTTTAAAAAGAGATAATAAAAAAAATATTGTGCATGTTTATTTTCATTTTTTACACTATAACAATTTTTTTAAAATACGTTTTTAAGGAAGAAAGAAGAAAAATAATAAAAGTTAAAAATACAATAGCATCGGAACTTAAATAAACAGTTGACCGGTCACATGTTTCCTTACAGGTCACACTAACAAATACATACACAGATCAGTTTACAGTGTAAAGGCATTTACTCCATTTCTCCCAATATTGCAGGTATTAGTCCATTTGTACACACAAAGAAAAAATACCAGAAAGAATCACAAAGAAAGCAATATTTTATAGAATATCTATTATTTTCAATCACAGCAAATTAAAAAAAAGTATTTTGTTGCTCTAAAAAACAGCATTTAACTTGAAATGTTATACAGATGTTATCAGACATACATCAACATTTTACTTGCACTGAGAATTATCAAGTTGTCTTTAAATCGCCCCCAACCAAGCTTTATATATAAAGATAATTTGTCCATTTAAAATATACAAAGTATTTCTGAACGTTACTAATATCCCCATTTCTTGTTATGACAGGGCAACAGGGCCGACAGAATCTTGAAGCCATGAAGGCAGGGATGTTTTTTCGTAAGGTGAAGTCTCGTATGTGGAGGCGGCAGCGACACTATAAACTTCAGGATGACTGCAAGACTATCGCATATAAATCCAGCTGGGCAATAAACTCATACTCAACATGTACGTACTGTTTCACTGTTTATGTTTTAATGGGATAGTTTACCTAAACATAAACACATTGAGGGTGAGAATTTGATGACAGAATCTTCCTTTTTGATGAAATGTGCCTTGAAATGTTTACAGTTTTAGTTAAACTCATGAACTAACTCACATTTAAGCATAAAGTATTAATTGTCATGGTAAGATTTTGTTAAATAACACAACAAATGTATCTTAGTGTTAGAGGTTCATTTGTTGACACTTTTGCTTTTTTATTAAAAATCCTAAAGCTGTTTACTAATTACTACTCTCATATAAATGAGTACAGGTTTTTCAGTTTTTTTTTTTTTAAATAGCTTCTCTCTTCACATTATTGTCATAACACCAACGTCTAAAAACAATGATTCAATTATTTTGGGGGAGTGTATTTTTCCTTCAAGAGCTCCCTTAGTTAAAAACCTTGTCGTCAATACCAGTTGTAAGAACACCAAATATTAACTTGACTTCTATTTGATCATTGGGAAAAGTGGCAGAAGGTAGATTTTTCCGTTGAACCATCTGTTGAACTCTGTTGAATTGGCCAGCCCAGTCACCAGACATGAACATTATTGAGCATGTCTGGGGTAAGATGAAGTAGGCATTGAAGATGAATCTAAAGAATCTAGATGACCACTGGGAGTCCTGTTAGTGTGCTTTCTTTGCCATTCCAGATGACTTTATTAATAAGTTATTTGAGTTATTGCAGAAATGTATGGATGCAGTCCTCCAAGCTCATGGGAGTCATCCACAATATTAATTATTTTCCCCTGCACCATGACTTAATATTCTGTAATTTTTTTCTGTTAAGTGACAAGACTTTTGTTTAAGCAAAGTCAGACTTTACTGTCCTAATTAAATCATTAAAAATTAAGGCATGATCATAGTTTATTTTGGTAAAATAAGCGTAATCTAGAGGCCTTTGCCTTTCATATAAGCCACTTCTGATAGCAAATGATCAACTAGAAGTCAAGTTATTATTTGTTGTTCCTAAAACTTGGATAGTCGACAAGACTTTTGTCACGTAGTGTAGTAATGTATGAATACTTGGGAATAATAAACGTTGCCTTTTTAAACACTAAATATAGAGTTTAGTAAAAAAAAAGCTCTAAAATATAACCAAAGCATAATAATCCATAATAATAATATGTTTGTTTTTTCAGTCTCCATCAGTGATGTAGAGGCTGTTCGTGAGGGTCATCAGTCCGAGGCTCTCCTCGGTGTGGCAGACGAGTTTCCTCCAGACCGCTGCTTTACACTTGTGTTTCGCGGCCGTAAAGGAAACCTGGATCTGGTGGCCGAGTCTGCGGAGGAAGCTCAGGCCTGGATCCAGGGCGTCCGAGGCCTCATGGAGAACATGGAGAACATGGACGAGAGCACCAAACTTGACCAGTATCCATTTTATAGAAATCATATAATATCCTTCTGTTTTAGCTTCTAACATTTATCCAGTATAAACTTAAATGATCAACCTAAACCACTCTGTTCAGATGGATCTCAGACTGGTTTTCCAAAGCAGACCGAAACAAGGATGGCCGAATCAATTTTAAAGAAGCTAAAAAACTACTGAAAATGATGAACATCGACATGAATGAAGAACATGCCTGCTGTCTTTTTAAGGTGATTGTTTGCTTCTTTCATCAGCAATGTGCACCTCGTTAATGATTTAATTGGCGGTGATTTAATGAGGTTTCTTTCAGATGGCAGATAAGTCTCGGTCAGGAACCCTGGAGGATCAGGAGTTTGTGGAGTTTTATAAGATGCTCACTGAGAGAAGGGAAGTGCTGGATTTATTTCAGGATTATTCCAGTGACGGACAGATCCTGTCCCAGTGTGATCTGGAGGAGTTCCTGAGAGAGGAGCAGCTCGAGGGGGAGAGCAGTTATGAACATGCCCTTCAGCTTATTGATCGCTATGAGCCTTCAGAAACGGGTAACAGTTTACCATTAACTCCAATATTTAGTCAATATAATGTATATATTTTTAAAATTTATGAAGTTTTTTTTTTACTTTTAGGTACAATATTAGTATTGTTGTTGTGTGTTTTGTATAGTTTTTGTATTATTAACTTCTATAGTTTTTAAATTTTTGGTTAATAATGTTATGTAAATTAAATTGTACTTAAAACAATACATGTTTCTTTTGAAACTAGCTAAAAAAATCTTCAGGTAATTACATCTGCGTGTTTGTGTGTGTTTATATAAATGGTAACGTTTACAATAATGTTGTATTGGTTGGTGTTAGTAAATGCATTTTCTAACATGAACAATACATTTATTTGTTAATACAGTATTTGTTCAAATTATTTTATGTTAGTTAATGGATATAAGGTTGTTCATTGTTCATGCATGTTAACTCATGGTTAGGGACAGGCGGAATCTGCGGATGTTTTTTGCTATTTCTGCAGAGAATTTTGGTAAAAACTGCGGATTTCTGCAGAATTATTTTGGGAGTATCATAACTAAAACCTTAATACTTCAAAAATAAAAAAATACATTTTTAACTTTTATTTAATGTTTAAAATTCAAATCCAATTAGATCCACTTCATTTGGTAGACAAAGCAAGTCTCTCATATAATATCTCTACTAAAAGACAGAAAATATTACTGTACAAACTGCATTGTGTTTAAATCAGATGAACATTTTTATATTAGTCGATAATAGTACTGTAATTAATTTAAAAACTGAATAAATAGACATTTACACACATTTACTCAAGTAAATAAATAGAATTAATAATGGGCTAAAAATCTGTGGAAATCCTGCGGAATTCTGCGTGTGCAGATTGCATGTGGGGCTACTCATGTTGTATTAACTAATGTAACATGCATGAATTGGATTTTAATAATGCATAAGTAAATACTGAACTGTGATTAATAAATGCTGTACAAGTGTTCACACTAAATACATTAACTATTCAATAAGAAACCCTTTGTAAACTGTGACCATATAGATGTTAGAAGAACCTACAGATGTACAGACATATACAATTTAATATAAAACAGCGGTGAAACATTTGAAAACTGGTCGGTAACTGAGGAAGCATTTGTATGACTATGAAGAAAATAAATGAGAACATATTTCTGGATGCTCTTTTAATAATAGAGTAGCCGAGCACTTCATCTGGATTGCTGGGCAACAGTGAAGAGGTCATTTATTCATCAAGATTACTGAGTAATGACTGAAAATTGATGCGATACGAGAGCTCATGTTGTTTTCCTACAGCCAGAATGAATCACTCGATGTCAGTCGATGGGTTCCTAATGTACCTGACGTCCCCTGAGGGATCCATCTTCAATCCAGAGCGGCAGGGCATCTTTCAGGACATGAGCCAATCTCTTGCCCACTATTACATCTCGTCCTCACACAACACTTACCTGATGGAGGACCAGCTAAAAGGACCAAGCAGCGTTGAGGCCTACATCCAGTGAGTTCTGTTTATTTATGCTAAAGAATTATGATTATGAAATACGACATGAATTCGTAGATTTATAAACATTTGAGGGTAGAGTAGCCAACATTTCTACTTGAGTTAAACTACTCAAAAAATACTCAGGTAAAGCTACAGTCACATTTTATTTTTAGGGTGTCCTTGTTACAGTGTAACTATTACTAAGTAATATTAATTAATTACATGTATTTACTATATGGTAAGTGTAAAGCCTAGGTCAGATCACACAAATCACGATTTCAGCACAATTTTCCTTGATTTAGGGTGTCGTGGGGATTCGTAAATGATAAATGGGCATTGTGACACAAGATTCAATAGTTTTTTCTTGTGTAATGCGGCATAGTTCACAACCGATACCATGCCTGCGACGCCTCATGACACCATCGCAGAAAGTCTAGCATGTTTATTTTTTTTAGCATGTTTAATCACGTGGGTGACACTGTGCAACAGGAGCACATAATTTCTTGGTTATCACAGCAGGTACTGCCGTTAATGCACTGGACAGTTAATTAAAAAACAGGCTGCATATTTACTTATGGGTGAGTCGCAGTGGATAAGATCAATCATTGGTTATGCAAACTTTAACTACCTTTTCTAAAATATTAAGGTGTTTTAAGCAATTTTATCTGACAGACCGGCACAAATATGCAGACATCTCCATTCTTACAAGGAGTTTCTGAGTTCTCTCATCCTTCCAGCAGAGTTTCATCCTCTGAGGTAATCTGGGAACATGTTCAGTGCTGGGAATAGATTGTAAAAGCATTTCCTGCTTGTCGTTAATAGTAAAAACAGTTTAATATAGGCTTCTCTGAAACTGTGAATGTTTCACTTTAATTTATTTAGGATGATTATTATTTTATATAATAAATCTCACGGCAATTCGTGTTTTTGGGCATATAGCGGACTTATTTTGAAGCACATTACCTCATATGTTATTCATTATTCTTGTTTATAGATAATTGACCAACAAAAGATACATTAAAATTAAGTTAAAAAAAAAGCAAACAAAGTTTTTTTAACAAGATATTTTTTTCCAAGAAAAATATTTGATTTATATATATTTTTGTGCCCCTGCACTACTCAACTGTGCTGACGGATGATTAGTTTTGCTCTGAGGAAAATAAGGATTTAATTAATGTTTCACTGTGATTATATCACAAATCTCAGGTATATATTTGGTAATTTTTTAACATGACATTATTTTAAAGATTATGTCTCGAGCATCTGATTTTTCCTTGCTGCTGCTTATGTGCTTTCATTTTCTTCATCTCACTCGCGGCAAGTTTAGGCAAGTAAGTGTTTAATAAGCAATTCATGGCTGGAAAATATACATTTAGTTTTCAAAGAAAGTATCTTCATATTAAAAAGAACATAAGTTCCATGACATCCATGTCATAACAAATGCCCTTAAATAATGTTGCCAAGTCGTCAGCAAGCATCAGTGTTTACTGAGATTGAAATTTGGATAAAAAATTAAATTGAGATAAGAAATATCGTTATTGCAACGCTTGTGACTGCTTTGGGAAATAACGCTCTTCGTAGATGTCTCAGGATGACTGATCGTGAAGGAACGTGTAGTCTGGCACATCTGTTACCCACGACAAGTCAAGATTTTATCAAGAAAAAAATCACATAATCAGACATAGTGACTTTTGTAACTTACAATAAAAAACATGTGATTTGACCGGGGCTTAAGCTGCATGTAATTATGCAAAATTCATTTTAATTACTACAGTAAATGCATATGTAACAAGGATACCTTAAAATAAAGTGTTACTAAAGTGTAATAAAGTTAGTTCTAATTAAAATAAAGGAAAAATGCAGAATTTTAGACTAAATTAGGACTTGTTGAAAGTCTGTCTGTTCTGTTTATATGATTTTTAAAACTACATTTGAGGTAAAGCAGCATATCTCAGTCCTGACTCCTGAAATGGGTGAATTAACATCACAGAATCTGTTATTTAGAATGAAGAGTTTTTTTTCTTTATTTGTATTTTAAATTTATAGGCTTATGTTGAATTTTATTCTTATACAATTTGCACTGTATTAAGCAGTCTAGATAGTGAATGAAATGTGTGGGGCATCACGGTGGCTCAGTGGTTAGCACTGTCACCTCACAGCAAGAAGGTCGTTGTTTCGAGCCTGGGTTGAGTCAGTTGGAATTTCTCTGCAGTGTACATTTTCTCCCCGTGTTAGCATGGGTTCCCTCCGGGTGCTCCGGTTTCACCCACAGACCAAAGACATGCACTACAGGTGAATTGAATGAACTAAATTGGCTGTCGTGTATGTGTGTGAATGAGTGTGTTTGGATGTTTCCCAGTGATGGGTTGCAGCTGGAAGGGCATCCGCTGTTTAAAACAAAAGCTGAACAAGTTGGCGGTTCATTCCACTGGGGCGATTCCTGATGAATAAAGGGACTAAGCTGAGGGAAAATGTATGAATGAAACGTGTATTGGTGTTGTTTCATGAAGCCGTCTGAAGTGGCTGATAAAAATAACATCTAACATCCACTTCATATGTGTTAAAGTACACAAACACTGGGCAGGAGTCACTGTGTGAAGGTTTCACAAACAGTGCTTAGCTTCAACAAGTACCAGGCCTAAATTGAAATGAGTATTTAACCATCATTTATAGAATTTATTTAGAAAAACAGATTACCAGTGCGTATCTTGAGAAAAATTTAGGGCACTGATAATTTTAAGATATCTAATTGTCAGTTATTTTCAGTTTATACTGCTCAAACATGCATTTTAATCTGTTCCTTGTCTCTAAATCCAGACTTCGTTTCAACTCCTCCACAGATACAATTACTGTCTTTCAGACCTAACCAGAGTACAAACAAACTGTTAAAAATGTATTATTAACATTTTATGAATGGAGGAATGCTGCTGAGTATAGCGGAAAAAATTTGATTATTATTATTTATATTAGTTTTTGTTTCAATTTACAATAGAAACAAAAATACTCTAAATGTAGACTACTTTTGGGCTTTAATAGGCTTGTAATGACGTAAATGTAATGTAACTACCCATAGTCATCTAAAAGCAGTTTGCAGTCTGTCCAGTTGACAGTTGTATTGTGCCAGTGCCGTGTGTTCATGCCTGTGCTTGTTTATGTGTTCTGAAGGGCTCTGAAGCGCGGCTGCAGGTGTGTAGAGGTGGACTGCTGGAATGGAGCCAATGGGGAGCCAGTAGTTTATCATGGACACACGTTCACATCCAAGATTCTCCTCAAAGACGTGATCACTACTATTGCAAGTTATGCCTTTAAGGTGATCTTTATGCTTCAGTAAATACATTATTATTTTCATTAATTATTCATTTGATATGTTGATTTTAATATATGCAGCTATGGTAGACATTAGGAGAACACTTTACTATATTTATTTGGTTTGGGTTTGAGTACAAATATTAGTTTTATTTTGTAAAGGTTTGAGAAAATTTCTTCTTTTACATTAGAAAAAAATATAAACTGAGAAGAAATGTCATCCGTTGTTTGAAGAATAAAGCAAAAATTAGGTTTAATTGGTGTTCTCTTAATTTTCCATGGCTGTATTGTTAATTATTAACAACAAAATTTACTATTTATATTGTTATTAATATTAATACTGTTCTTGACTGTTGTTAAAGGAATAGTTATTTACCCACAGGCCCTCCATTATATACATGGCGGCCTTTCCTGAGCCAAAGAAAAAAGTATTTCTGGATTTTTCTTCATCCAATGCATGTAAACTGTCCAAAAACATACTCTTTTGTTGTAAACATGCTGCTTTTGTTGTAATCCCCTTGACCCCAGTGAACAAATAAGTGTCTTCTGTATTAAAAAACACATTCACGAGTTAATAACCTTTCACATGACATATTAATCATGGGTGAACTCTTCCTTTAATATCTGTTGTTTTTACAGACTACTATATAATACTGTTTTCAGACTTCTTAGTGTTTCCATTATTACTATTTCCAGGCTTCTGAGTATCCGCTCATCATATCCATTGAGAACCACTGCAGTGTAGAGCAACAGAAAGTCATGGCTCAACAGTTCAGAGAAATTCTGGGCGATATGTTGCTGACCAGCACAGCAGACACTGAGGTTTCCAGTGAACTGCCATCCCCAGAGGTGAGCTCAGGTTAGCTCTTCAATGCCTTACAGATAGAGGTGCACTTAACTTAATTGCTCATAATGACTTCTGTTTGAAAAACATCGATGACTGACATTGATCTTAAAATAATGTACGCTCTTATATTCCTAATACTTCTACTACTACTAGTATTCTTCTAATACTAATACTGTATCGATACACAATATATTGTGCAGCCTGAATTGTCACAGATGGAGTGAAATTTACACTATCCATTACAAAAAATGTTAGTTTTAAAATATATATTATCACAAATATATATCATTTTAATTAATTAATTAAATTGATTTTTATTCTATTTTAAAGATTTCCCAAGTGCTGTTTAACAGAGGTAAATTGAGCCTTTGCTATGACTATATCTATATATATAATATTTTAGTAGCTATTTTGCAAGATACTTTTGAACCATCAACTTAATCAGCATCTGTTTATAAAGAGTTCAGATGCAAAATCCAAAAAAACTTCTAAAATAAACATTTTTATCTGGCTCCTGTGTACAGGTTCAGTAATATCAATTTTATGGCATAGAATAAGCTCTTTTTGTGGTCTTTAAAGTGAAATATCTCAACATAAATAAACAAAGGAGGCTCAGAAAAATATTCTTTTTCAATGGAAATTTCAAACGTCACTTTGAGGTTTTTGCATCTGAACTCTTTATAAACAGATGCTGATTAAGTTGATGGTTCATTACACTGTGGCGACCCCAGATTAATAAAGGAACTAAGCTAAAAAGACAATGAATGAATGAATGAAAATATATTAAATGTCTATTCCAGTTAAACTATGAGAAATAAGAAAATATTAGGATATGCAGTGTCCCAAAAAGTGTCCTTGCTCTGTTAAACATCGCTTGAGAAATATTTGAAAAAATAATTAAAATTACAAAAAAAGGAAAAATGGCTTCTTGTGTTTAATTGTTTAATTAAATTTTTACATTTTATTTTATTTAAATAAAAATAACCATAAAATGTAAATAATGTTTTTATATATACAATGTATTTTTTTTTTACATTGGGGATGTTAAGCAGATGTCTAATTTCTTTCAGGCACTTAAGAGGAAAATCCTGTTAAAAGGGAAGAAGATTGGACACGAGTCAGAGAGCCCCACAGCTGAAGTCAGCGATGAAGACGAGGCAGCAGAAATGAATAAGGAGAGTTCGACATCTGAGAGTCTGCCAGCAGATGGCAAGGTACCAGTGGAAATATTGAGAAACAAAAGAAAAATGTTAGTCAGTTTTTCCCACTTCCTTGTTTTTCATTGTTTGCCTTTTCCTCTGTAGAAATCGAAGCAAAATCTGTGCAAGGAGCTCTCGGACATTATGTTCTGTAAAAGTGTACACTTCCACAGCTTTGAACACTCCAGAATCTCTGCTAAGCCTTATGAGATGTCATCGTTCTCTGAGTCTAAAGCCCGAAAATATTCAAAGGAAGCAGGTCAGAAAGCGTTTTAATGAAATAGTTCTTCAAAAAAACTCCATGTATAAAAATGATGTTTTACTCTAAACCACTCTTTCAGTAATTGAGCCTGATGAATCTTGGAATATACTTATGCCATCGGGCAAGAAAAAAATCATTAATGTACTAACCTGGTTTTCAGTATATTCATGTACTCAGCAGACCTCATTCATTGAGCACATAATGTTGCTAAAACTAAAGGCCCAATCCCAATTCTATTTTTGTACCCCTTCCCCTTGGCCCTTGAAACAGAGTGTGAAGGGGAAAGGCTTCAAATTTTTTACCCCTAAGAAATAGGACACTACTACAACACCTACACACGTCATCATACTGTATGTCTTCGTAATCTCCTGCTTCATATAAAATTGACAATCGCGACTGCTGTAGTTGTTCCAGTTGCATTATTTTTGTGTTTATCTTCAGTAAATTACTGAAGGCATATATCATGTTATTGTTATCATAATGATATAACGTGGCAATAAGATCGTAACTGTACTGAGCTTTTACACCCTGGCTATATTCATCTATATAAACACACAAAAACAGCATTTCCATTACACCGGACATTGTAAAAAGCCCATTCCCAGCCACTATACTTTTCTGACAGGGGATTCATCGAGTGTCATCGAGTGACAGAATGTTGTGGGACCACTATACAGGAGTTATTATTATTATTATTATTATTATTATTTATTTATTTATTTATTTTTGTTAAAAAGCATGACTCAGTTATAAATATTAAAACATGTGATTGTTTGTTGTAAAAATTCATAATAATGACAAAAAAATACTAATTTGTGCATCTCCTGACTTGTAGATGGTTTATTCTGGTAAATTTTTGTTCCCTTTGGTTTAGAGCAGTGGTTCTCAAACTGGTACGTGTACCACTAGTGGTACGCGGGCTTCCTTCTAGTGGTACGCGGAAGAATCAAATATGTCATGTACATGCTACATATATTTCAAAATGTATCAAAAATGATTTATATATAAATATATGATGACATACAGCCGATATTTCTGAGATCCAGGCAAAATTTCCAGGTGTTGATGAGTTGGCTAATATATGTTAATACTTTACATTTAAGTACAGGATTTTTTCTTCTTTTTTTTTAAGAACAGTAACCTACTATTTTTAACTTTTAAAAGAACATTTAAATTAAAATGTTGACTTTTTTTTTTTTTTTTACAAATAAGCACAGTACAGTGTTAATGTTCAGACGGTTTATAATGTTTAAAGTGACTGGCAACAATCAATATTTTTAATAGTAGGAAATTAATCTGCCACACTTTTGAACTGTGCAAAGCTTTTGCTGCTTTACTGGGCCAACTACACTACTGTTTTTCAATACTGCTCTGTATGGTGGTACTTGGTAAGACAATTGTTTTCTGAGGTGGTAGTTTGAGAACCACTGGTTTAGAGTATGGTCTTTAAAAATTCCCATTTCAAGGGGCATCTAGCCTTTCCCCTTAGCCCTACACCTTCAAGATAAAGAGAATTGGGCAAGGGGAAGGGCTAAGGTGTAGAATTGGGATTGGGCCTAAACCTGACCAACTGCAGCATGCCCAGATCCCAACATTGCCCCACAGGCTTTAATGGTATTGCTTGATGCGTGCCAATAATTTGACCCTTCAAAAACAGACCTTTTCCACGACCACAGGATGTGTCTTCCCAACATGGTTGTTTAAGAAATGAGCTGCTACTCTCTGCATCAGTTAGAAATAAATAACTTTTTACCATCTGAAACATAGACATCCATGCAGTATTTATCAAAATAGAGACTCTTACTTATATGCTTAGTTAAATCCAGGTGATGACTTTTTTTTTGGACAACCTCATGATTTTCCAAACATCTATGTTAGTTACTCTATGATACACAATGTCATTTGATCAGCTCTTTTCATCTTTTACACAAAAATAATGTGTATTAATAAATAAAGAATGTCTCATTTTTGTCTGTCAGGTTCAGATTTTGTGCTGCATAACACCAGGCAGCTGATAAGAGTGTATCCAAGTGGAATGAGGACTGATTCATCAAATTACTGTCCAGTGGACATGTGGAGCATGGGATGCCAGATTGGTTAGTATAGTGCATATTGTATTACACACCATTATGTGCGCATTATAGAGTGGGAAAAATATGGCATGGCTAAAAAACCTCGTAAAAACACTCACTGTGGAGCAGGGAAACACAGCTAATGTGTTGTAAAGAGGGCAGTGTATTTACTGTAATGTGTTTCTGATTCATAGTGGCATTAAACTTCCAGACGGCAGGAATGGAAATGGATCTTAATGATGGGCTGTTTAGTCAGAATGGCTGCAGTGGATATGTTTTAAAACCTGAGATACTGCGCAACAGAGAGAGACGTTTTGATCCTGAAAAACCAGAGGAGCATGAGGATTACAACCCTTTAGTCTTCTCTGTTAAGGTATGAAACAGTGTTTATTTCTGCCTGTTTGCTTTGATATTTTATTTGTTGATGGTAGCTTCTGTTCTCTATTTTAGGTTATCAGTGGACAACAGCTGCCTAAACTAAAGCAAAACGAATGGTCCATTGTAGATCCCTTCGTAAGGGTGGAGATTTATGGCGTTCCTTTGGACCAAGCCAAACAGGAGACCAAATACATCGACAACAATGGTAAGAAAGCAAGGATTAAATAGTCTTAATGTTGCCAAACCTCTATAGGAGAGAGACTGTGTGCTACAAAGAGGTCAGTTTATGGTGGATGCAGCTTTAATGTGACAACAGATATACCCTTACTGTAATATGATTCATCTTTATAATTTGCAGACCATGGGGACTTAAATTCCACTATTTCTGGTTTATCTTTTTCCCTCATCTGAGCAGGTTTCAACCCATATTGGAATGAAAGTGTACAGTTCACCGTCCACACACCTGAGCTTGCACTGGTGCGTTTTGTAGTTGAAGACCATGACAAAGCCTCAAGGAATGACTTCATAGGGCAGTACACACTTCCATTGTCTTGTATTCAGCCAGGTGAGCATAGACTGAATATACATACTGTAAGCAAATTTAAAGAACCCATATTAAGCATTATAAAAGGTCATATTTTGGTTTTGGGGGTCTCAAACAACTGGATAGGCATGCAAGGTCAAAAAACACTTTCATTGTTTTATATCACACATTTATTTTTACCTAATTATCCCAACGACTCTCATATGATTTGTTCAGCAACTCATTTGTTCCCAAACCCCTCCTTTGTGTAAGGCAAATCTGCTCTGATTGGTGCCTGTTGTGATTGGTGGACTGGGTTCAGTGTGAGATGGAGAGACACGCCCAGCACTGTTATGAGCAGAGTATGTGTGAGCCTGATGCAAGGATGCATTAAAGCAATGCAGTTAAACACCAGCACATACTCTGTTCTTAACTACAATCCCTAGTAATAACAATGACACATTCAGTATTTGTAACTATTTTGAAAATTGACCGCGCCACGTGTTTGAGAAACAGCTGTTTGTGGTCATAGCAACAAACAGCAGGAGATTGCGAGCACAAAACGTTTTTAAATCACTAAAGGAAAAAACATGCATTGCGTTTTCAACATGGTTTTGGACACGATATGTGAAATAGCCCATACAGATTTAACCTGAGGGGGATACATTACAAGCACTGATCTATAACAGATACTTTAAGTGATTACAAGCCGCGGGGAGCAGCTACAAGTTACAACACACTATTAAATACATATTTTGCAAACTACAGAAAAAAGACAACCATTTTAACCAAACTTCATGTTTTGTAGGAAGTACACTTACGGGTTCTGGAGGAAGAAGAAACTGGTCCATACAAACTGTGTAACAGTTACTGACAAAGTCCCATACATTAGTAGTCTTAGCTGATTCTTGCTTTAATAACAAACGCCTCACGAATCCCGCGCTGCAGGGTGGGTTTTTATATCAATCATCAGAAAAATGACAAACACGGCACACGTATGGCTATACTATGGTGTTGTTGTGAAAATGAACTTCAACCCTTTATTCCCCACAGCCGCATGTTTGTCCATGTCTTAGTGATAGTAATCTTCTCAACATGACCAATCCCATGATCCCTCGTACTCCGCTAGTGTTTGAAGGGAAAGGCACGTTCACGTTTTAGTGGAACCAGCATTGCATATTTGGTATTGTTTCGTGTCGACAATGAAATGAACAGGCAAAAGATCCGGACGAATGACAAATCATTTAAACGACTCTGAATCAAATCTTTTATTAAAAAAATTATATTTTTAAACATGGTGCACTTTCAGATTTAAACATCAGCTGGTTGTTTTTATTCACTTAGAACTGTGTTACACACTGGATGTAAGGTCATTTTCAAAAACACATGATAGGGGCTCTTTAACAAAAGAAAACAATATTCATAAAAACAATGCAAACAATGCTCTTAATTCTTTCAAAAATTCTTTTTCAGCTATTTTATTAAGAGTAATTTAGATTAATTAGCCTTAAAGGTAAAAAACTAATTGTGTTCAAATGCACTTACTGAGATTTTTGCCGTGAATGATTTTTCTTCTCATATATGAATGCTTGTATGTAATCATTAGTGTGGGAGACCCACTGTCTCCAGGCTTGTGCTCTAAAAGCATTGCAAATCAATTTATTTTTCTCTTTCCAGGCTATCGCCATGTCCATCTGTTGTCCAAGGATGGAACAAGTATCCGTCCATCCTCCATATTCGTTCACATCAAAATCACAGAGCTGAATCACAGTTCTAATGTCCATGCTTGAAGCGTTATGAAGAGCTTCTGTTTCTCAGACAAATCTGTACATTACTGTAAAAAGGCAGAGAAAACATTTTGTCCCGTGCTTTGCTCAAAAATACTTGAAGAGATAAAAAAAAAAAAATCAAGCCATAATTTAATCAATTATCCTTCCATCATGCATTAAAACAAAAAAGGTGTAGCAACTGCCATTATTTTTTAAAGTACCTCTATAGTAGCTGCATGGTTTTAGATGTGCCTTCTCAAGAGAAAAGGAGCATTCTTGTAAATGCAGATACTTACTAATATAATTGTTTACTCTATGCAATATTAAGTTTACTTGACTGCATTTTGTTTGAAGGTTACACAATCAGGGTATAATGCATCCTTAAGGTTGTGCATTATCTACATAGATATATAGACTAGATATCGCATACGGACCCCGAGCATGCGTCAATACCGCCGCCACATTTGTACAGTGCTTCCAGGACAAATGTCATTCAACCGCACTAGTCAAGACTAAAGCCAATCTGAAGATGCTGGACTTTAGCGGTGTGTACGGGTGTTGTAATAAGTAGACAAAGACAACAAAGCATAAAGGCAGAATAGGTAATTTGGTAATATTTAATAAAAAATCTGACCTAATAAATAGGTCATAGGTAAGTTGTTGTATGTTGCGAACTTTTGTGCTAAACAATTAATGTTATTGTTGATAATACAGTCACTTTCTGCATTGACCATGTGGCAAAGTAGCACCAACTTGCACAAAAGTCTATGCTTATGCTAGTTTTGTTGAATAAAATCAGCAAACAATGTAACTGAAATATAACAATAAGACGCTGTGGTGCCAGAAACTTGTATTATTGTCAGCTTAGTGAAGTAGCGGCTAGTTTTTTAAGTAACTTGTAAGGGTGCCTGATTAACAGCTTGACAGTGCTTGCGCCTCAATGTGCATACTCTCCACCCTAAATTATGGAATATTATAAATGTTATACATTATTTAGATCAGAGAGTAGATATAAGCATTGAGACGCAGGGGTATCGATGGTTCACACGTACCGTTCTTAACGGGGATTCGTTCACAAACCAATCGCTCCCTCCGTTAGACTTAGAAGTGAAAGCAGGAGGAGTGTGTTTCAGCACACAAGTTAGATCAAATTTAACAGGGAGAGAGATAATACTTTCCATGTACATAAACACTCGCTCTTTGTCAGCAATGCCCGTGCAGTCACATATCCATCGATGCAGAAAAGAGATGTAAAATTATCATTTTCGTAATTAAAAAAAAAAAGTGCATACTGACCACCAGGAAATGGCCAATCATAGATATAGAGAATGTATAAATGTTTACATATTTACACTGTGGTCCCACATTCATTTCAAAGGAGCACTACCCTGTACTAAAATGGTGGCTCTATTGACATATTCCTTCTAATAAACAACAAGGTAGGCGACATCTAATGTAAATATCTATGCATTATCTAAATGAGTAAAACTGAGCATGTTAAAGTGCCTTTGATTACTAACCCAAAAGCAAGTGTTCATGGTGAACGAGTCATTATGTATGTATGAATATGTCCAGGCAAAATACCTTTAAACCAGAATAAATATACTGTAAAACATGTTTATTCAGTGTGGTTTGATGGGAATTGGGATCGCAATGACAAGTAATGTGTAGCACAAGTCAATATAAATGCTTAAAGTGTAACTACATGTCCTCTGCTGTTTGCATGTGCTGTACAGCAGTTTGGCCATCCTCTTGTCCTTCTCCTTCCCTATTCCAGGTCTTCTGTGTACCGGCGCTAGAGGCTTCTTGGTTTTTACCCACACCGTTTTGGACAGGCAAGTCTGGATGGTGCCTGTGAAGGTGCTTCACAACCTGAAACTTTTGTTTGGCCCGGTAGGGACAATGTAAGCAGTAAAATGGCAGCTGATTGGTGTGGGATAGATAATGGTGGCGGAGACCTGCAGGCCAGCGAAATGCTTTTTGGCACACTGAGCAAACATAAGGCCTTGCCTCACTGTGCTTTCTCTGATGTGTCTTAAGCAGGAAGCGTGTCTTAAAAGCCTTTCCGCACTTCTCGCATATGAAGGATCGCACGTCTCTGTGACGGGTCTCACGATGGATACGCAGGGCATCGGCACGATTGGTGCGGTACTCACAATCCTCACATGCATACGGTTTTGCACCTGTTGGAAAAGATAATAAACACATCAACGATGTGCAGAAACTTTATAGTTGACGCAAGTTAGAGTAAACATACCTGTATGTTTCGTCATGTGATATTTAAGCTGGTTGACCCATTTGCATTTATAGCCACATTCTGGGCAGAGATATTTGCGTTCATCCATATGAATCCTCATGTGATACTAAAAGATCAGCAGAACTGAATGTCAGAACTGGAATAAACAAACCGTGAATCACCATCTTAGCTATTTCATACCTTTAATCTTGAAGGATCTGCACATGCATAATTGCACTTCTCACAGCGGTACGGCTTCTCTCCCGTATGGATTCGAATGTGCCAAGTGATCTTCTGTTTGTTTCTTGTGGAAAACTCGCATTCAGTGCACTTAAAAAGACAGGTTCCTCCATGTGACCGTATATGCTGGTCAAACACCATTTGGTGGGTGCAGGAGAAACCACAGACATCACACTTCAAAGTTTTCTCCTCTGCTGGCCCATCTTCATGCTCATCTAACATGTGTTGGACCAGAAGGAGCCTTTTATTGGTGTTGAAGGAACAAACCGTGCACTTATGTGTGATGGACTTCTTACTTCTTTTTTCCGGATTATCTTGGGGATCGTTTGTCTTTTCAGAATGGTCACTCTGCATATGTGCTTTCAGAGCAGCTTGGCCTCTGCAAGTGAAGCTACATTGGGTGCAAGGCAGAGTATTAGCATCCGAATGCACTCTGTGGCAATGCTGCTTCAAGGCACCATCAGAGCTGAAACGTGCATCGCATTGACTGCAATGGTAGCGGAGTTCACCAGTGTGGCAGCTCAAGTTGTGGCGGTTGATGTCGTTGAGGTTATAGGCTCGGTAATCACAAACTGAACAGAAGTGTGTTGCCTGCTTGTCATGAATGCGTTGGTGGTGCAATCGTAGTCTAGATGTGGTCCCGAAGGTTTGGCCACAGAGTTCACAGCTATGCCTCCCAACACCTGTGTGCATGGACTCATGGGCTTCCAGCCGGTAGCGACGAACTGTGCTAAATGAACAGAAGCGGCATTGATGAGGACGAACTCCCTCATGCTTCACAGCAACATGCTGCATTAGGCACCGCTCTTGTTTACAGGTGAAGGAACAAAGATCGCACTGAAGGTTACCTGACCTTTTACCTTTGGTAGCCTTCTTGTCTTTCTTGTGACTTAGGATATGATGGCTGAGAGATTTGTCTGATTTGGCAACAAATGAACAGTGTGGACATTGTATTTCACCTTGTTTTAAACAGCCCTTTACCTCATGGCTTGCTAGAGCTCTTTTTTGGTGGCACAGGAAAGGACAATTGGGACATGAGAATCGGGGTATGGAGCTTGGCGATCTCTCGTCTACTGCCGAATCCCCTTCAGAGTCATTTGCCCCATCTACATCCTCATCTTCCTGGTCTGAGTCATTAAAATGATCTTCTTGCTCAAACTGCCCAGCCATTTCAGCCAGATATATCTTCGGTGCACTTCCACTGCATGTAGCACAATGACGATTTATTGTGACTTTCCTGACTGATGAGAAAGGACATGTTCTGCAAGTAAACCTGCCACCTTCTTCAGTGTAGCCAGAGACCTCATCATTTACAGATACATCCACTTTCGCTAACTTGTTTATAGTCCTGATAGTTGCCTGCCCTTCTTCAGAAGTGCTTGGCAGCGAGTCAGTCTCATCTATTACATCAGTAATGATAGGAGACAATGACCCTTGAGGTTCAGCTGAACCCTTTAATCTTAAATCTGTGACTTCAAGAGATTCAATTTGAATTGTGGGGGTTCCTGATATAAGATTCGTACTCCTGGAATGACCTACACAACGCTCTGATTTTCCTATGGCATTTGGTAAATCAGACTTCTTTCCGCCACTCGGTAGTGACCGGCACTTCCTGAGACGATGGGTGTGCAGAGAACGTTGCTGTTTAAAATGCATACCACAGTCCTGGCAGCGTAGTCCAGTCTTCATGACCTGGCAGGATGTCTTGGAGTGCCGAACTAATGCTGCCTGCTTTCTGGTCACATAGGAACAGCGGCTACATTGATACATATTGTCCTGCGTCCGGACAACAAGCATCTGTACCCTGCCCTCTAATACGAGGGCTTTAGCCTGGTCTTTATCCTGTTTTCTCAAGACCTGCAGACAAGTCTCAGAAGTTGAGGGCTGTACAAAGCTGTCCTGGTGAAGTTCAAATCCTGTCAATTGTGTGAGGTCTTCAGAGTCACTCTGAGCCCTGCAATAAACTCCATCATCATCATCATCATCATCCTCATTCTCAGCTGATGGTTCTGGAATATTCTGGTGAATTGAATGTAATGTGTGAGATCCAGCATTGCTCCCAATGTGTACATTAAATGCAGTGTTGTGTATGTTTGCTGTCTCAGCGGGTATCATCTGTGTGCTTTCCATGCTGGTTTGGGAACTATAAAGCAGGGTGCTGCATTCTTCATCATTTGGATGTCTTTCAGTCATTTTTTCAGTTTGTGCAATAGGGGCTCGTATTGCTTCATCTTCATTATCATTTAAAGACACATCTTGTGAGTCACCTATTGTCTTATTGGACGTTTCTTCTCTATATTCCAAATTTGAAGTCTGAGGTGCTGCTGTCTTAGAGAAGAAGTTGTCTGTCAGATCGACAGAGCTTTGCTCCTTTTCTTTCTCTGCATAATTCTTAAGCCATATCACATCTCCGGGCACATATCCGTGGGACTTCTTTTTGTGCAAGAAGAGGCCAGTGTTGCTAAATGTGGTGTATCGACAGAGCGCACAGCGAAACATGCGTGTCCGCGTGTGTCTGCAGTTCTCGTGACTAAGCAAGGCTTGCCGATACTTTGTTGTGTAAGGGCAAAACTTGCACTGGTAAACAGGAGGTTGGGCATCTGCATTTGTGGAGTGCTTGAGCTGCATATGGCTGCGCAGCTCAGTCTTTCTCTTGCAGGAATATGCACACACCTCACAAATCAGGGATTTCTCTTGGTGACGGAGTCTATGGCTGTTAAGCTGGTCCATGCGGTGACAACGATACGAACACTGATTACATTTGTACCTGAAAGAGACGAGTGGCAGGTCAGTAAACCCAGTAAATCGTTTCTTGTAAATCACATTTTAATTTCATTCAGGATACATACCTCAGATCTCCTGCATGTTTACGCATATGGACACTGAGATAGTGTTTCCACTTTGTAACATATCCACATTCTGAGCACATGTGCTGCTTGTCATTGGAGTGCGTCAGCATGTGCTTTGAAAGGTATGTCTCATCACGACATCTGAACTCACATAGTGTACATTTGTGGGGCTTTTCACCTGTAAATACAAATGTTTAACATGTCCACCCATGGCTTATGATAATTCTGAATAAATCAATCATTCAGAAGTGAAAATATAGTCTTTATATGCTATATTATTTTTTTTTGTGAAATAAAGATGTAACGTAGAACATCTAAGCTGGACTTTAACTGCAAGATAAAAATAACTAATATAATTTAAACAATAACCACAAAAGAAATAAATGTTGGCTGCTTTTTGTCATTTTTAAAGGGCACATAGTTTACCCCTTCTTTATGATTTAATATTAATATTATGGTTCTTCTGAGTGTGCCAGTTTAGGTTCAGTTCAACACACAGTTCAGACGTTGTTATTATAATGTGTTAAAAAGTGTCATGTTGGGGGCGTTTACACAGTTTGCTGTTTTAGGGGCGTGTTACTTCACAGTTTCGGCTTCCCGCCCAACGGTACAAGGGGGCGGAGCAAGGAGTTCCCACGCTCTGTGATTGCAACAGACAGGCTGACAGACAGAGAGAAGCTAAGCTAAGCTAGAATGAGCATTTAGCCGTACATGTACGATTCGGACACAGATCAAGCAGAGAGTACAAAATCATTTGTGTCTTTGTATAGTCTCGGTGTACAAGTGCCGAGCTTGTACACCGAGACTAATAACGAAACACACAATAAATTAACTTTGACTGAGCCACCGAATGTGCCACGACACGAAACACCAGGCACTCAGTGACATGGCAGAAACATGAAGTGTCCTGAATCGTCGCGCCACGCATTCCAGAGCTCCAAACACAGGCCTCCACCAGGGCAAACACAACGGTGCCGCGGCCGCCGAGCCGCTGACCAGAAGCTCTGCCGTGTGCACCCCGACAGAAACCAACGCCAAGAACTCCAAAATGCACGTTGCCATGCCACGCAAAAGGTACAAGTAATAATTCCGATTAGAGCGATAATGTGGAGAATATTGATCTTGTGTTGAGCCCAATGAGCTTTTCATCAAAAAATAGAGCACGGGTGTTCTTTCAGTGATATTGCTTTGACTGACATGCTGAAAATGGCGGACGTGCAAGAAGAAACTGAGGATATGATCGCGACTAATTGGTGGGTGGGGGGACCGCTCTCCTAGGTAAAGTTGCGGTCTGTCTGAAAACTGCTCCAACTGGTCCACCGTTTTTATGTTGTTAAATTGAAAAAAAAGGACTGTGTTTGTTTATATCACCATAATATGACAGTCTATACTCCATATAATAATATCCATATAATATATAGTATACTCCATACACATAAAACTCCATACACTAAACTTACACACGTCTGTCCAAACAGCTTGAAAAGTAGATTTTTCACCATAGGTGCCCTTTAAATCAGTATAATTTAATCACCAATTGTTTGTGCATGAAAAATTTCCTGATGTGTACTTTTTAATGGGGAAAAACTAAACTGTACCTGACAAAAGGCTTGCTGTTGATCCCAGCTATTGGAGCAACAAATAATAACTTGATTTCTAGTTGATCATTTGTGGCAGAAGGTAGATTTGTCTGATGGATCATCTGTTGAAGTTTATCCCAATCATCACAAATACTGCAGAAGACCTACTGGAACCCGCATGGACCCAAGATTCTCACAGAAATCAGTCAAGTTTGGTGAAGGAAAAATCATGGTTTGGGGTTACATTCAGTATAGGGATATGCGAGAGATCTGCAGAGTGGATGGCAACATCAACAGCCTGAGGTATCAATACATTTGTGCTGCCCATTACATTACAAACCACAGGAGAGGGCAAATTCTTCAGCAGGATAGTGCTCCTTTTCATACTTCTCATGCTTCAGGATTGGCCAGCCCAGTCACCAGACATGAACATTATTGAGCATGTCTGGGGTAAGATGGTGGCATTGAAGATAAATCCAAAGAATCTTGATGAACTCTGGGAGTCCTGCAAGAACGCTTTCTTTGCCTTTCCAGATGACTTTATTAATAAGTGATTTGAGTCATTGCACAGATGTATGGATGAAGTTCTCCAAGCTTATTAGAGTCGTACACAATATTAATTCTTTTTCCACTGCACCATGACTTTATATTCTATATTGTACATTATTTCTGTTAAGTGACGAGACTTTTGTCTAAGCATAGTCTGACCTTACTGTCCTAATTAAATCATTAAAAATCAAGGCATGATCCTATTTTATTTTAGTAAAATAAACGTAATCTTCATATAAGCCACTTCTGATACCAAATGATCAACTAGAAGCCAAGTTACTATTTGTTGTTCCTAAAACTTGGATAGGGGACAAGACTTTAGTCAGCTAGTGCACATGGTTGAAATGACCAAAGTGTGAATAATTCTGCTTTAACTTTACCTACATAATAAACAATGTAAAAAAGGTGCATATCTTACCAGTATGCATAAGCATGTGTCTTTTCAGGACTCTTTTGTGAGCGGTTACAAAGCCGCACTGCGAACATCTGTGTGTTTTCTCACTGGCATGGAAGTGGCCGACATGTTGCTCGAACTCTACAGGGTTAAGAGTGGAAAAAGGGCAAAAGCTACAGTTCAAATCTTGCTTCCCTGGATGTCCTTGTCTTTTATGCTGCTGAAAACTGCTCTTATTTGAGCACGAGAAGTCACAGTGAGGGCAGTGATAAGCCTGATGTGTCCGAAAATGCTTCTCCATGTCTTCTAGGCTGCCAAAAAATGCCCCACAGGCGTGATGACGGCATTCTGTGGCCTCAATTTTGTGAGCGTCTAATGCATGCTTGTAAAGCTGCTTCTTTTCTGTACACTGATATGAGCAGCCTTTATGGAAGCAAAGCAATGGCTGTCCATGTTGTGTCTTATTATGAGACTTCATATGGCTCTTTAATGCCTGACTCTGTCCGAATGTTTTTTGGCAGGTTGGACACTTAAACGGCTCTCCCTTGGAAGCATCGTCCTCTTGATGTCCATGCACACTAGCAAGGTGCCGTCGTAAAGAATTGCGTTCCACTGCTTTATACTCGCATAGATGACACTGGTGCAGCTTCTGTCCCATCTCTCTCAGCATGTGGACACGTAGCTTGCTTTTGCTGGTGAAGTAGTGTTTACAGGTGGGACATTGCAGAGTGGGGTCAGGAAAGTGGATTCGAGTGTGTTCTATCAAATGGGAGCGAGTCTTGAAGCAGCGCCTGCATTCGGAGCATATGTGTGTGCGAAATATGTGTTCGGTGCCCTCCGCAACATGTCCCACTGAATGGAAGATGGCACAAGTCAGACCTGACATTAGAATTAATCACAATGTTTTGTAACATTAATCGTATTTACCTTTAGATGGAGACTTTCCTTGGCTACCAGTAATGGATATTTTCCCTTTTTCCTTTGCTTTACATTTTTTTCTATTTTTCTTGCTACTAGATTGCACAGGCATATCCGTTCCCTTAAACTGAGACAAAACTGTAACATAAAGAATGTAATACACTTGTTATGTAAATAAACTTGTAATATACGTAAATTTCTAATCAGCCAATGGCAGCAACTCACTGCATTTGGGCATGTAGACAGACAGCTGATGGAAAAGCAACAGTAACTCAAATAACCACTCGTTACAACCGAGGTATGCAAAAGAGCATCTCTGAATGCACAACACGTCAAACCTTGAGGCGAATGGGCTACAGCAGCAGAAGACCACACCGCGTGCCACTCCTGTCAGCTAAGAACAGGAAACTGAGGCTACAATTCACACAGGCTCACCAAAATTGAACAACAGAAGATTGGAAAATGTTGCCTGGTCTGATGAGTCTCGATTTCTGCTGCGGATGGTTGGGTCAGAATTTGGCGTCAACACCATTAAAGCATGGATCCATCCTGCCTTGTATCAATAGTTCAGGCTGGTGGTGGTGGTGTAATGGTGTGGGGGACATTTTCTTGGCGCACTTTGAGCCCATTAGTACTAATTGAGCATTTTGTCAGCGCCACAGCCTACCTGAGTATTGTTGCTGACCATGTTTCACTGTACTCAAATGGCCTCCACAGTCACCAGACTCAATCCAATAGAGTTCCTTTGGGATGTGGTGGAACGGGAGGTTTGCATCATGGATGTGCAGCTGACAAATCTGCAGCAACTGCGTGATGCTATCATGTCAATATGGAGTAACATCTCTGAGGAATGTTTCCAGTACCTTGTTGAATCTATGCCATGAAGGATTAAGGCAGTTCTGAAGGCAAAAGTGGGTCCAACCTGGTACTAGTAAGCTGTACCTAATAAAGTGGCCGGTGAGTGTATACTGTAAGCCTCCTATTAAGCCCCTAGCCTCCTACGTGTGACACAATATTTAATTTGAGTTATCTGCTGTAATAGTTGACACATTGTTTTGAGTTATAATTATTTCATTAGGAGGAAAAAAGTAACAAAAAGTGACATGGGTTATCAATCTAGCACAGGGGTGCAAAAACTCGGTCCTGGAGGGCTGGTGTCCTGCTTAGTTTAGCTCCAACTTCCTTAACACGCCTACCTGAAAGTTTCCAGTATACCTGGAAACTTGATTAGCTGTTTCAGGTGTGTTTAATTGTGGTTGGAACTAAAATATACAGGACAGCGGCCCTCCAGGACTGAGTTTGGGCACCCCTGATCTAGCATCTAACCAATTAAAATGAAATATTTCAGAGATGTCTGCTAAATATCTATGTTAGAATATATAATTAATCAAAATGAGTTTTATGTGTATTATTTTGTTACCTTCAGGTGTATCTGTTGTTGCATTGTTTTTCAAATGCTCGAGTTGTTCTGCGGCACATCCAGACTCTTGTAGATCCATGATATAATTGTGTTAAAACTCCACAGGAGCAGTCAGTGAGGGATAATGTGAACTCTCATAAGGGACTAAACTCTATTACAGCCTCAGGACCATGAAGTATTCTGTTCCCCAGGGCAAAATGACTGTTCTGCAACATCAATATGATAGAAATGTTTGATTAATAATTTTCTGTAAAATTAAGACCTTTGATTCAAAGTAATAGGTTATGAATCAAAGTTCTCGCCTGCTAATAAGTTACAACATAAAGAAAACATAAGGATAATCGGCAAAAGAACACATACTTATTTAGTGTAACGTATAATACCAAAGGTTTAGAAATGCTTTTGTTTATCAGAAAATCGATTTCCATTATTATTTTAGCCCTTCTGCGCTTAAATCCGTGCTTCATTTGCTCTGATAAACAAATAAACAACGCTTTCTCAAGCAGGAGCAGATGTGTTCATATTAAAGAAAATAGCAGCAAATGAATATCAACAAGATGTCTAATAATATAAACAACACCGTAAATTAAAAGCTTGTATGTTGATGCTTTAATTTACAATCATAAATGACGTTACCTTCACTTGTGAGGATGAATGTAACGTTAAATGGCGAGATTTCGAGGCTCTTTCTGATAAAAGAGGACGTTAATTTTGTGTATAAATCACACATTTGTATACACGGTTGGATGATTATTATTCTGAAATACCCCAAATATAAAGCGGTTAATGAGAATAGGTAAAAGTGTCATAACGCGACCCCGTCGTAAACAGCGACAGCGGAACTATCATTGTGAAACGTTTAGTACGGAACTATTTTTCTGAACAACGGAAACACACAGAGGTCGCCATGTGATTTGCCCGTTTGGTTGCAGTGAATCGGTTCTTTTGAACAGTTCGCCTGAATTAACTCTTTCAACACAAACCGCAGTTAAAGGTGTATTCGCCCAATAAATGAAAGTTCTGTTATCATTTACTGACCCTCCACTTGTTCGAAACATATTTGAGTTTTCTTCTTTTTAGAAACAGAAAAGATATATTGAGGAAAAACTTGAAACTGGTAGGCGTTGAATGTCAATGGCTTCTGGTATCCAAAATCTTTCAATATATCTTATTTTGTGTGCAATGGGAAAACAAGAAACTCATAAAAGGTTGTAATCACATACGGAAGATGAGTAAATTGCCATTTTTATGTGAACTACCCCTTTAACGTAGGATTCACTTTTGTGAGTCGGTTCAACCGAGTCATTGTGAAGATTCGACTCGCTTAAGTCATTCAATCATTCTGCAATGATAGAGAACGCTTGCTTTCATGCACTTATATTTGATTGGCTTCTTTTTCCTTTGTTTTAAGCTAACAGGAGAAAAAGGTTGTTTGTAAATACGTGACCTTATTTACACTATCGTAAGTAAAGTGACGTTTAATTTTGTATTTATTTAACTGATAAGAAATACCTCTTCTTTGACAGCTTGATATGAAGTTCGGTCAGTCTTAAGGTTCTCTTGAAAATGAAGATAAAAATGCGTTAGCCTTATTTGCTGTGAAAGCAGGATGCATATTTGTCCTGACTGAAAAAAATAGTACCTGAAGTTACCTTCACCATGACCCTGTCAGATTTTATTGGAGCCCTGAAGGACAATCCTTATTTTGGGGCAGGATTTGGACTAGTTGGTGTTGGCACGGCACTTGCAGTTGCCAGAAAAGGAGCACAGGTTGGCATGATTTTCTTTCGGAGGCATTACATGATCACTCTGGAGGTTCCAAGCAAAGATAAAAGTTACCACTGGCTCTTAAGCTGGATCACCAAACATGCCAAACACACACAGCATCTGAGTGTAGAGACCTCATACATGCAGCACGAGAGTGGGAAAGTCCACACACAGTTTGACTTCCACCCAAGCCCAGGCAACCACATCATATGGTAAGATTGTCTACATTATTGTCATTGATGCATTGAAGTTTTTCATCTCTCTAATTGAGGTTCTTGCGTTTTTTTTTAGGTATGGAAGGAAGTGGATCAGAGTGGAGCGGGTCAGGGAGAAGCAGATGATGGACCTGCACACTGGAACGCCCTGGGAGTCTGTCACCTTTACTGCTTTGGGAAGAGACCGCCAGACATTCTTCAACATACTTCAGGAAGGTTTGTTTTTGCTCGTTTGTTCTTCACCATGTACCTGTTGTAAATTTTATATCAAATGAATAGTTTATTATTCAATCTCCACTCTCTTATTTCAAAACTTTATTAAAGAAACTATTTTAAAGAAAACCTGTAACCTTTTTTTCTACTATGGAAGTCAATGGTTACAAGGTTTCAGCTTTTTCTGAATATCTTCCTTTGTGTTCATTTATTTATTAATTTTCCTTTGGCTTAGTCCCTTTATTAATCTGGGGTTGCCACAGCGGAATGAACCGTCAATTTTTCCAGCATATGTCATCACTGGGAAACATCCATACAATCTCATTCATGCACATACACTACGGACAATTTAGCCTACCCAATTCACCTGTACTGTGGACTGTGGGGGAAGCGGAGCACCTGAAAGAAACCCACACGAACACAGGGAGAACATGCAAACTCCACACAGAAATGCCAACTGACCCAGCTGAGGCATGAACCAGCAACCTTCTTGCTGTAAGGTGATTGTGCTTTCCACTGTGCCACCATGATGCCCCCTTTATGCTCAACTGAGAAACATTTATAACCACTTGAGGGTAAGTGTTAGGGTTAGTAAACAGTTAGGACATTTTACATTTCGGGGTGAACAATCCCTAGAACTCAAGTGTGCAGTATTAACTCTATTAACTCAGTATTAACTTTAATGCCCATTTTTCTTTCCTTGCTGTTTGAGAAAAAACATTTTATTCCCTACAACTCACTAACATACAAACTTTAAGCCTCCTTTGAAATTATGTTGGTCAAAGGGACAGTATGTAAGATTATTTTTATTAAAATACCCAAATACCACTAAAATAGTTATTTATTTTGCGGACCTATGTACTTGCATACACGCCATGGTGGTTCAGTGGTTAACACTGTCACCTCACAGCAAGAAGGTCGCTGGTTCAAGTACCAGCTGGGCCAGTTGGCATTTCTGTGTGGAGTTTGCATGTTCTTTGTTGGTGTGGGTTTCCTCCAGGTACTCCGGTTTTCACCACAGTCCAAAGACATGCGCTATAGGTGAATTGAATAAACTAAATTGGCTGTAGTGTATGTGTGTGAATGAGTGTGTATGGATGTTTCCCAGTTCTGGGTTGCTGCTGGAAGGGCATCCGCTGTGTAAAACATATGCTGGATAAGTTGGTGGTTCAATCTGCTGTGGCGAGTCCTGATTAATAAAGGGACTAAGCTGAAGTAAAATGAACGACACTTTCAGAACTTCCAGAAATAAGAGAAAAGTGGTGGGGTTAAAGAGAGACGTCAGATGAACTATTTTGCAGCCTAAATGATAGATTTCTGTCTCTGTGCAGCACGTGAACTTGCTTTAAAGCAGGAAGAGGGCCGGACAGTGATGTACACTGCAATGGGAGCGGAGTGGAGACCCTTTGGTTTTCCAAGGAGAAGACGGCCGCTGTCTTCAGTAGTGCTGGAGAGTGGAGTGGCGGAGAGGATTGTGGATGATGTAAAGGAGTTCATAGGCAATCCTAAGTGGTACACTGACAGAGGTGAAAAAAATATCATAATAGGTCTATTTCACAAAAACGGCATTTAAAACTGGAATAGGGAATCGGTTGCCCAGCCGCTGCTACTATTGCCATTCATTATAATGGACTGCGAACAGTTTAGTTTCCTCTCAGTTATTACTTTATTTTTATATCGTAGCGGTAATTTTAGCCTCTATGCTGCGTATTGTGTGTTTTGGTACTCAAAATACTTAAAAATAAATAATTTAAGAAACTTAATGACTTTATCCACTGTACTGTACTAACCATATACACAAAGAAAACAGAAATTAGACTGTCTAATTGTAGGATTGAGTGTAGTTAATTAATTCAGGATCTAAATGTTGTCTCATTTAGTTTGCTTAGATGGCAACATTTTCCTACCAAATTATGGCACGTTATTTTAGCGCCCATGAGCGAAATTTAAATCATGATATTCTTTAAAGTTACTTAATTTTACATTAGCATTTTGTAATAAAATATAAAAACTAAGACAATTTTTCTAAATACATTTTTAAATACAAATAAATTAAGATTTCATTCATTTTTAGATTTACTGTTTTAAACCCACATAAAAATCTTGATATAGCTAATATATATATATATATATATATATATATATATATATATATATATATATATATATATATACATATATATATATATATATATATACATATACATATAACAGCACATATATTTATTAAATGTGAAAATATGTTTTATAAACATGTAAAGATTTATTATTAACTTGCTATTATTTTCTCCATTACAATGAATTCATTAAATAAATTAAACCTGTCCAATTTAGATCGTTTAATATATCTTTGAAAAACGTTTTAGCAAACAGGCAATATCTGCTATATTGACTTTGTCAGATAAATAATGTCTGATAGAAAATTAAACTGTTCACAGTCTATTGTAATGAATGGTGATAGCGAAGGCTAAGCGACCGGGCGACAATTCTCTCCAAATCACCATATTTGAGAAACCAGTATATGAAAAGTTTTTTTTTGCTTCCTTATTAGCCTGCATAGATCTTGAAAAAATATTATTCTAAATAAAAGTATTGTTTTTTGTTTTGTTGTTGAATGTGTTTTAATCAGGCATTCCATACAGGAGGGGATATTTGCTGTATGGCCCACCTGGCTGTGGAAAGAGCAGCTTTATGTAAGCTTTCTTTATAGTTCATCTTACTATCAATTAAGGTTGTAAAGTTGATCTATGCACAGTTCAAATAACTTCTGTAATAAACAATGGTTTAACTTTTTGTAGAAAAAGTTATTTTTGTGGAAGTTTTATGTTCATGTAGATATTGCATGTGGTATTGTCAAGTCATGTCTACCTCAGACCTTATTTTACTCATTATTGAAAATCCCCATTATAAAACTTTATAGGGAAATCCAGAAGGAACCCACAGTAAACTCATCTAGTTATGACATTAATCCTGCACCGCTCTATGAAAAAAAAATTAATCAGCCCACAATTTACTCACCCTAAAGGCATCTCTTCCTTTTTTATAGATAATTACAACCAGAGTTATTGTAATAATTATTTTGTGGTTTTTCTGCTCTACAATAGCAACTGTTTTTCTGTTTTCTTTGCTTCTTTTTCTCTTCTTCTTCTTCTTTAGACGTGCATATTTTGGTGCACCAGCAGCTTGACAGGAGCTTGTGATGCATATTTGCCATTGAGATAAAGAGAAGCAAAAAAGCATCACTGAAAAAATATTTCTCATTTTATATTTATTCAAAATAGGAATTTATATTATTTAATATCTCATTTAAAAATCATATAAAATCGTTAATTGTTCTTTTTATTATTAATAAATTAATTTTATTTAAAAAAAATGTTTTTTTCAAATGCTTGTGTGCTTCTACTTCTTATTCATGTCACTACTACAATCTGCTTATGTCATCTGTAATGCTTCACGTTGCTGTCCAGCTGGTGGTGCTAAATGATAAAAAACAACAACACAAAGCTTTAGAAGAAAAATGTGTATCTCAGAAAATACACAACTGTTTATAAAGTTTAAAATATGTAATTGTTTCTTAAAATAAAATAAAAATGCATCAGTTTGCAGCTGGAGACCTTTACTATTATTTTTATTATGGATGGATGTGCTTTATTGCACTTGTTTTTGGACTATTGAAGAAAACACCTACCCCTTTTCATTGTAAAGCTGGAAAAGCACAAGATTATTAATAAAATTACTCTGATTTTATTCGACTGAAAGTAGACAGTCTTATACTAACCTCATTAGGGGTTCATTTTTAATTAAAATTAATTAAAATTTAATTAAAATCTAACCCTTTAAAATAACAAAGTACAATGGGTATATGCACAAAGATTTCTAATATTCAGTCAGCCCAATCGCTTCCAGTGAACTGTATTGCCATCACAAAATCGGCACGTTTAAGATCTGATTTCTTTAAAAAATCTGTGATCTTCACAGCCTGATTGATGTGCGATATAAAGTTGGTTTCAGACCAGATAAGAAGCGCTGAATTAAATTCCATTTCCCTGTCTTCAAAATATGAAAACGTATTTGACCCCAGTATTGAAGTTTCTACGCTAGCCTACTACTACTGACATCCCTAGCTTTTGCATGGTCTTTCATCTCATTTTATGCTTGAATAACAAAATAAATGCTTAAGTCTATTTAACTGATTGTATTTTAAGTACATTACAACATCCGTGCTGTAAAAGCAACCTTATGAAATTGAAAACAGTCACATTAACCTTTCACTGGAAGTTTATCGTTGGCTGAAAAACACTAGCTGTGCATATAGCTCATTCAGAGTTTCACATCTCTGTATACTTATTGTACTTTTTCTTCTTCTCAGAACTGCTCTGGCAGGTGAGCTGGGCTACAGCATCTGTCTGATGAGTCTGAGCGACCGCAGCCTGTCTGATGATCGCCTCAATCACCTGCTAAGCGTCGCTCCGCAGCAGAGCATCATCCTGCTGGAGGACGTAGATGCAGCCTTTGTCAGCCGCGAGCTGCTGCCCACCGAGAGTATGTCTTGCTGTTGTGCTTCTGAATATTCACAGCCTAACTATACTGTGATGAATCTTGATGACACAATATAATCTTCTTTCCATTTTTTTCTCACAGATCCACTGGCCTATCAAGGTATGGGACGGCTTACGTTTAGTGGGCTTCTGAATGCTCTGGATGGAGTGGCATCTTCAGAGGCCCGAATTGTCTTCATGACTACTAATTTCATTGAGAGGTAAGGCTTGTTTTTCCCCATGAAGATTTAGTTTTTTTTTTGGACTTTGGAATGTGAAATTGTGGCTATAATAGCACAAGGAATTGGAAGATTGGTGGTAATAAATTGTGTGTGTTACAGTGCAATGAAGGTCAGATCCTGGCAGATGTTTTAATATCCAAATGTTGTATAATTGTACTTATTATATTTAATAAACAAATATAATTATTTCATAGAATGAAAATCCAATTAAGTGTATATACGGATATTAAGTAAATAAAGGTTTATTTATGTAGCATTTTTCACAGACATTAAGTCACAAAAGGCTTTACAATAATGCCCGATTTACTCGGGCCTCAGCGTCAATGCTTGACGGAGGGCATGTCTGAAGTTAGGGCTGACGTGATCATCATAACAGCGTCAGCCAATAAAATTAGTCTGCAATCGGCTACTGTTTGAGCTAGGGGTATTTGCATAAAGCGATCTGATGAAAAGTAATGAAAAGTTGAGAAATTCCCAATTTCTGCAGCGAGCAACACTACTGATGCAGCACTGACGGATCTGCAATTCAGTTCGGCAACGCTTTATGTCACCCATTCAAAGCTAATGGGAAGTGCTGATGCTGATACCCCATGTGAATGGGCCGTTAAAGAAGTGTGGAAAGGGGTGTTTATTGTATTTTATTATTTTTATTTTAGAATATCCTGATATTCATTGTACTTTTGCATCCTAGATAATGTCATTTATATTCCCAACAAACATGCTTGCTTTAAACAATTGTACATAATAATCAGGTTTTGCTGACATTAAAAAAAATTGTTTAAAATATTTTTTTAGTCATCATTTATTAGTATATATTTAATATATTTAGTTTATGTTAAATAAGTCTGTATATATTTTTAAATATTTTTTGTTCCCTATTGCAAAATACATATTTTTTAATCTCTTAAAATAAATAATTTACACAATATTTCATTTATAAAGGATATTTTATGTGATCAAAAAAATTATGTTAGTGTAATCTTTTTTTTTAATTCAAACATAATAAATAAAACAAACATTAAATATTGTCAATTCATAAAATGTTTTTTTGGTCTTTATAACTGCTCAATTATTATCACACGATCACTCTTTTCTGTAGTCCAATCCTTACTTATTTTAAATAAATTAGTCCATTATTAATCATTAAAAACATTAATCATGAAGTACCCAGTGGTCAATAAGACTTGGGACTCTGAACAGTCTTTGGTATTAGTAAAATGGTATTGTTTCCTTCCCCTTCTCATTTTCTTCTCCTCGATGTGAAGACTCGATCCGGCTCTCGTCCGCCCCGGCCGTGTGGATCTGAAGCAGTATGTTGGCCACTGCTCGCACTGGCAGCTGACTCAGATGTTTCGGAGGTTTTACCCTCAGGAGTCTGCAGCCGAGGCAGATCACTTCTCTGAACAAGCACTGGCCGCTCACACAGATCTTAGCGCCGCTCAGGTACAAGGACACTTCATGCTCTACAAGACTGACCCAGCCGGGGCTATCAAAAACATTGCAGAGATTAAGGACTGAAGATTTTCATAGACTTTTGTTTGAAGAGCAGTCAAGAGCAACAGTTCTTGCTCACAAATTAATGCTCAAAAATTGGAGTAATAAAATAAGACTTGTGGAATATTTGTGTATTTTGCTTGGTTATTATGGCTGTATTTCGGAGGTTTGTTTTGTGTATATTGAATCATGCCTTATATGTGAGCGGGACATGCACTATCTGACAAAAGTCTTGTCCCTATCCAAGTTTTAGGAACAACAAATAATAACTGGACTAGTTGATCATTTGGTATTAGAAGTGGCTTAAATGAAAGGCAAAGGCCTCTAGATTACCCTTATTCTTATAGAATCTTGGGTCTATGTGGGTTTCAATAGGTCTTCTGCAGTATTTGTGATGCATTCCACAGATCATTCATCAGACAAATCTACCTTCTGCCACAAATAATCCACTAGAAGTCAAGTTATTATTTGTTGCTCCTACAACTGGGATCAATAACAAGACTTTTGTCAGGTAGAGATCTATTTTCCAAATTTTTTGCTTGTGATTAATATTCATACAATTATTAATGCTTTAAAATTCTAAACATTCAGAACATTTCTTTCTGAACAAGAGCATGTGGTTTTGTAACATTTTTTTGTTTGTTTTGAAGCCTTTTCCCTCCACCCTGTAGGAACTGGAGGAAAGGTGAATGTTAAAGGCAGAGTTCAGCCAGATTAAAAATTGCCTTTATTTTTATCGTCATCATGTCATTCAAAACCTGTACTTAGTATTATACCAGGAAAATAACAGAATGTTTACTATAACGTTCTCTGAAAGATTGAGAGCCACGGTCTGCATTTACATACAGCTTCACTCACTCTCAGAAATAAAGGTAAATGAGCTGTCACTGGGGTGGTACCTTTTCAAAATATACACATTTGTACTTAAAAGGTCCATATTGGTACTTTAAAAGTATATATTAGTACCAACAAAATTTAAGAGAAACACTTTTGTACTTTTTAGGTTCTAATATGTACCCTTGAGGCATTAATATGGACCTTTTAGGTACACATTTGTACTTTATGAAAAGGTACCACTCCAGTGACAGCTCGTGTACCTTTATTTCTGAGAGTGCTGTATGAAAAAGAGCAGAGAAATGGTGACTTGGAACGAATCAGACTTAGTATCTTCTGATTAAAGGCATAGTTCATCCAAAACTGAGAATTCCATCATTATTTACTTTCACTTGTCACCAACCTGTTTGATTTTCTTTCTTCTGTTAAACACAAAAGAAGATCTGCAAAAAAAAATCTGCAACCATTGACCTCCATATTTGTTTTTCCTACTATAGAAGTCGCTGGTCATGATTTTGCCAAGTATGATGCGATCCTGGAATAAAACATCTATGTTGATCCTGGAACATCATTTTTGTTGGAAAATGTAATCCATACCTCTTCCCTACCCCTAAACCCAGCCATTACTGAATTATTCCTAAAATCAGAGAGGAATAATAGCTGGATAATGATCATGTAAAATTGCATAAGTCTAAAAACCTAACATAAACTGTAAACACATCCCTTAATTCTGATTGGCTGATTCATAGATGTTTATTCAGGAACATGTCCTACTTGGTGAAATCAGGTTGGTGTATGGAAGTCAATGGTTACAGGTTTCCAGCATTTCTCAGAATAACATCATTTGTATTCAACTGAAGAAACAAACTCTTTGAGGTTAGAATCCACTTGAAGGTTAGTAAATAATGAGTTAAATTAAATATTTGAGTGAACTATCCCTTTGATAATAAAATTCTTACAGTGTCATTATGTGCATGCTAATGGACTTTCACCTTTCAAAACAGCACTGTACAACATAATATCAGATAGTGAAGAGTTAACTTGACTGTGTTTTTGCCCCACCTCCTTCTCCCTCCCGTGTGAAACCGGATCGTTGTTTCCCTCACTGTTCGCCCTGCCTTCATAATGGCTGTTTGTTTTGCTTTGAGCTCTGCAGAAAGGCTCGGAATCGGATTGGGTTTTCTGAGACCCACGGCAGCGGCCACAGGCTTCAGGAGAGCAGCAGGAAATGCTGCGGCTGCTTCTGTCAGTGTCCAGGACGGCCACAGAAAGCTGAAGACTGAGGCTGACCTTCCAGAGATCAAAATCTTTACCATGTTGTACAGACTGCTCTTTAAAGGCTACCTGAGTCGCATGCATGAGCTACAGGTACAGAGAGAAACCAATACTGAAGTTTGTTTACTGTGTGACTTTAACAGCGCTTGACATTATTTTTTACCTTCTTTATTTTCTCAGACTGTCAGGTGGTGTTCGATTTAAAGACACGGAGTAGAAAGGAAACAGCTGTCTTGTATAATTGAACATTTTTGAATAATTCAGAAGTGTTGTTTATTTGATCAGTCAATGGTTACAGGTTTCCAACATGTTTCAAAGTATCTTGTGTTCAACAAAAGAAAGTATATCATAAAGGTTTGAAAGAAGTAAATGATGGAGAAAGCTGAAAACCTGCAATCATTGACTACCATAGTAGGAAAAAGAAATACCATGGAAGCAAATGGTTACAGGTTTTCAACATTTTTCAAAATATCTTCTTTTGTGTTCAACAGAAGAAAGTAACTCATAAAGGTTTGAAAGAAGTAAATTATGACAAGCTGAAAACCTGTAACCATAGACTTCCATTTTTAGGAAAAAGAAATACAGTGGAAGTCAGTGGTTTCAGATTTTCAACATTTGTTTCAAATATCTTCGTTTGTGTTCAACAGGGGAAAGAAACTCATAAAGGTCTGAAAGAAGTAAATGATGCAGATATTTTAAAATGTTTGAAACCTGTAACCATTGTCTTCCATGGTATTTCTATTTCATACTATTGAAGTCAATGGCTACAGATTTTCAACATTTTTTAAAAAATGTCTTATTTTGTGTTCAACAGTGGAAAGAAACTCAAAGGTTTGAAGTAAATGATGAAGGTATTTTGAAAAATATACAGGAAACCTGTAACCATTGACTTCTATGGTATTTCTTTTTCCTACTATTGAAGTAGATAGTTACAGGTTTCCAACATTTTCAAAACATCTTCTTTAGTGTTCAACACAAGAAAGAAACTTATAAAGGTTTGAAAGCAGCAAATTATGACAATTTGGTTGAACAATCTATTTTAAGGGATGCAATGCAAGATTTTGTCTTTACTAGCACACCATGTTCTTAACCATTTGTTTTTCGTCTCCCCAGTTATATGAAAAACAGCTTTATGGCCCTTTGTACAAAATCAATGTCGGAAACTTCCAATCCGTTGCATTAAACAGTGTGGACTTACTGGAGGAACTCCTTCGAAAAGATGAGAAGTTTCCTTCCAGGGGAGACATGACTCTGTGGACAGAATATCGGGACATGAAAGGCATCGGCTACGGCCCTTTCACAGAGTAAATGCATTTGGCACAATGGTTTTGTAATATGTTTTGCAATCTTATGTAAGATTTGTCAAAAGTCTGGAGATTTTACAAGGACAAAGTACATTTGGCTAATGTACAGTAGCTGTTTCATGTTATGTAAACTTATGAACTCTTATCAACATATGGCGTTTTTGTTGCATTTCTGAAAGGAGACTGTGTTGTTCAACAGAGAAGGAGAGAAATGGTACAAACTGCGAGCGGTGCTGAATAAACGCATGCTGCATCCAAAGGACTCGGTTCAGTATGGAGATGTGGTGAATGCAGTGATCACAGACTTCATCAAACGCATTTACTATCTGCGGGAGATGAGTCCTACAGGGGATCTGGTCTCTAATCTGACCAATGAGCTTTACCGATTCTCTCTTGAAGGTATTTCCACTCCAGGATTCCACTTAAATATTTTCCAATTGCTTTTATTCTTAATTTCCTTAATTGCTTGAATGGAACTGATGATACTGGAAACATTTTTGGGAGAATTTCATGCATCACTACAGTCTGAAATGGTATGGAGCTAATAATATGCCAAAACAATCTGAATTTGCATTGTGTTCATTTTAACTATTGACAATTGTTATTTAATAAATCTGAATTTTTATATGACGTTAAAAAATGTTTTGAATTTAAATTTCATAATTTGAATTTCATAACTTGAATATTGAACATCTGAAATGTAAGACAACTGAATTTTTTATAGACATATTTTCAAACTTCAGATTTGTTGTGTCCTGAATTCATAGACCGCAGATATCCAGTTTGTAGAAATGCAGTTTCAAGTTTTCTAGATGAAGAAATTCAAAACATGAAATTCAATATCCTTAAATTCAAAACCAGAAATTCAGATCGTGAAATTCATATTCAGCAGAAAGTAGGTCAGGGGTGATCAACAGAAGACTAGATGATCACCTAAACGTCAAACTAAGAATCACCCGCCTCTGCTTCTTAGTCATGGACTACAGAGTGTGAATTACGAGGGTGTGGATTTGTATGGGTCTGGAAATGTTTTTATCCACATATAGCCTAATGTAAAATTAAACTCGTATGTATTTTAGCTTTAAGTATAGGGGAGGCTGCTTTCGATTTCGCGTCACATAAACATTATGTTAAACACTCATCAAGCAGCTTTTGACGTATTATTAGCTCTAAAATGGAACCATAATGTAATTTAAATGTCAAAGAAAATACTCAAGTCAACTTTGGAATTATGACTGCCCCTACCACATTATTGTTAGCGTACTTTAGCTTTTTTTAAACAACTTTAGACCTTAGACCTTTAGACCAACTTTAGACCTTTTTTATTATATTTCCAAAAGAAATCCCTCTTCTTTGAAACACAAAGGGGGTCAGCGCAGTTGTTCAGTTGTTAGCACTGTCGCCTCACAGCAAGAAGGTCACTGGTTCGAGTCCGGGCGGGGTCAGTTGACATTTCTGTGTGGAGTTTGCATATTCTCCCCATGTTCATGTGAGTTTCCGGGTGCTCCGGTTTCCCCCTCCAGTTTTCCCTCTCTCTAAACAAATGGCACAACTTTAAAGATGCACAAAGCAAGTTTTGCCAAACCAAGCTGGTGTATGCATAAGATGTTTAGTTGTATTCAGATATTCTTTATTACAGAAATATTATGTACAGAATAATTGACGATGAGGTGTTGAAATTTTCCCACTGAATGATTTCAGTTCCT